CCCTGCTAAACGGCCCCTGTCTGAATGCCATTGTGGCTCGACCAGGAAGAAGATTTAGCTGCTCCTAAATCACAACTATACAAGTGCGCTTATTGTGACGTCCGCCACTGGGAGGAAGTGCGGGGAAATTGGGTCGAGGAAATATAATGAGCGAGGTTATTTAATGGAAAAGAAGGAAATGAGCAATAACGCTGGTGAAAGACGGCGGTGGGAGGGGATGGGAGAATCTGTGACAGGAGTTGTAAATCCGCATTTAATGCAGCGCTCTGAAATGGTATCCGCAGAACATCAAAGAAGCCCCCCCTACTCCCCTCTCGCAAAAATCTAAGAAAGCAAAGCACTCAGAGGATTATTCTCCTCCAATCGCATATACGCTCAAACCGACGGGATCCTTCACCCCTCACTAACGTTAGACCCCTCTCCCACACAAAGAGAGAGAGAGAGAGAAGTATGCGCCTGAGAAGAAAGGTGGAAGATGCAAGGATATGTAGAGAAAAATAAAAATGAAAGTGAGGCTTTGCCCTTTTAAAGGACAGATGGGTATTCAAGCCCAATGAGAAACCTTTAACAGATGCCGGTATCTCCTCCTGGAATGGGTCAAGCTTCAAATACACTACATTTCCCATATGTGCAACCAAGAGCATCATTTCGGTTCACCTTACCTGCTTGGTAAATGCCCACATATTTCCGTGCACCTATATGCTGCCGGTTTGTCCGTTATATGGCGGTTTAGTCTTCAAGCCTAAACAAGGTAACCCTGATGACATCACCGGGGTGTTATTTCTCATGCTGTGTTCAACCAGAACACAGGGTACATTTTAGAGGCCGTGCTGCTGCATGTAAAGTCAGTAAAAAGACGTGAGTAGATGTGAATGCATGGCAATTTGCACACGGAGGTGCAAATTTAGACACAGATGTGTTGGTGCTAGTTGAAACTGACATGAGGGAAAAGATGCACTTATCCCGGGGCTTTACCAATCTAGTGTTGCATCATAAATGCACAGAGACTATAGGAAAAAAGGAGAGCAGCGATGAGAATAACAAAATGAAATGGAGTTCCTGGTGAGTTCTGAGATCAGTCAATTTGGGGTAAATAAACTGCAGAAATGGGCCAGTGGGCAAATTCAAGCAAATAACACAAGAAAAAAATAAAAGTTGTGTTTCACTTTCTGTCTGAACACAAAAACTCCATTCAGAGAAACAGAAGGCATTTCACAAACGTTTTCACCAAGGATGCATCCCATAGCAAAAGCAGGGCTTTGGGTATTGGCTAATAGAGGGTATATACTGTATATATATATATATAGAATAAATATGAATTTATTGGCCCCATTGTCACTCATACCCAATTCAGCTATTTGAGTCAGTATCTGTCCTATGTATATTGCTATTTTCACAGGTTATGTAGTTTTTTTATGACATTAAACTGACGTTTATGGGTAAAATTGGTGAAATGCCTCTTAACTAAATATTTAGAGTGTTAGAAAACCCCTTCTGGCAAGAGTCAGGACTTAATTCCGTCCGTATTGTCAGGATTCAGTCAAGCTAACAGAGTATCTGAGCAGACACCTGTACATCTAAATAAAAACATACAGACACAAAAGCACACTGAGAATAGTCAGTCCACAACAGACCTCGGATAAAGTGCCCGGGAAAAGAGGATTGCAGCCCTGCATTCACAGATAATCTTTGGAACGAGGCAGGGCAAACAGAAACCTAGGAATTCTGTTAACAAAATGAAGGGGGGGGGGGGGGAAAGAGCATCAGGGCCGCTTATCTCTGAAAGGCTCCTGCTACCCAACCGGGTCAGATGAATAAAGAGGTTTTAACCTAATTTCTCACATCCACCACTGTTCTGACCGCAGCGAGCGACAGACAGCGTGTGTAAGTAATGGAATTAATCCAGTTTTTCTGACATGGAATACACAGCTGGAGCCAAATGATAAATGCTTTTGGTTGAGGCTGCACATCAAAAGATGCTGTCTTCAAACACATTTTCAGCCAGTGTTCTGATTTCCATGAGGCTCTTCAAATGAACACTACAAAATAGTGAGCACATTTGGGTCTGAATATTCCTTGATTCAGAGTCTAACAAGAGCATTTTAATAAAAGAACACAAATATGATAATAAGGACAGCAGTTTGAGTGGCTCCGTGGTGGCAAAGACAAAAGCAGATTAATATGCATGGTGGAGAGCAGTAATAGCCCTTGAACTCATTTACTTCCATCCCGAGTAATGACTCATCACGTGGAAGATGATGGTGAGGGTAGGGTGGAAAGAATTACAATAAGAAAGTTTATCAGAGGATTGCACTGCCCCCTGCTGGACAAAGCAATGAAAACACTTACATAAGAGAGATTACAGTCGTTCAGTTTTACCTGCAGAGCTGGCTGAAATGATTGGATCATACATTCTTATTGTTGTCAAAACTGCTGTCTCATGAATACATAAACTCAGTGATGCAAACATGTGTGTGTGTTATTTGTTCATGCTTTTACAGTTGATGTGGTTTAGTTACTACACTGTATATGTAAACATGTCTAGCAACATGTGCAAGAGTGTGTGTGTGTGTGTGTATGTGTATCCTCCCTCCTTCAAATGTGTATGGCTTCAATTGTTAGACATGTTAAGCTTTTTAATTGGTTGAGAGGATTTGCAAAACGAACAATTTCCTTGAAAAGAACTGTGCAAGGTCACTCAACCAATCACAGGAAATCCTCTGCATGTCAGTGCCATATTAAAGACGTTCCAACATATTCTGTGACCTATCAGATTGTATGATCTGTTAAGAAATTTCAGCTATATTGTTGGTCTTCCGTTCAGTTCCAGAACAACTCTCCTGAGGCTGGGCCCATTCACCTGCTTAGTATACCTCAGTGAGGTGGAAGCTTGCTCTAACAAGGTCTGAGCTCAAATCCATCCCAACCCTGATCCAAATATTTCCCGTTTACAGCACTTGATAGAATTAAGCTTCATTCTTCCATAGACAAAAAGGTGGAGACATCAAATGTAATGTGTCTAACGTTATTGTACAATTCCAGGACTATGCAGGTCAACGATTGGAGGTAGAAGCAGAAATTGTTATTATTATTATTTTTAACTGTTCCTGTTAGCTCACATAGTTCATAAACTGTAGCTTCATAAAACGTAATATTTACATGGGCTATGTCTATTCATCACAACGAACATCCAGCCTCATGTTCACAGAAACTTTTTCAAAATATGAACAAAAAAAACCGTCAATGTCTAACCTGCAGTGGCATTTTAGGTGGACAATGATGCAAAACTACAGATGCAAAACCAAAACATTGCACAACATTACAATTTGACACAAGGCACTATTTGAAATTCCCCACACTCTTTAACACAGGCTGAATGGCACATACCGGTTCTCCTCGTGACCGCAGTGAACTCAGCAGACACTCAGATCTTCGTGGTCAACTCAGCAGACACTTGAATTTTAGTGCACCTATATGCTGAAAAAACCTATATGCTATTTTGGAAACCGGATGTTGTCTGACGGTAATCTTGCACCCTTATTTGACATCTTATTTTGAAAGCCGGATGTTGTCTCACGTTAATCTTTCCGCTAACTTTGCAAAGTCCTTCGCTCGCTCCCGATCTGTGCCGTTTGAATGCGTTTACCGTGAATTTCAGCATATAGGCGCACTAATATTTAAGTGTCTGCTGGGTTGACCACGGAGATCCGAGTGTCTGCTGACTTGACCGCAGTTCCTCGTGTTGCTGTTATGCTGCTCTGTTTGCACAGTCCTGTGGTTTTCATGTTTGGTAATCCTCTCAGAAAGATGCTTGTGATTATTGTTAAAGCCACTTCTTGACCATCGCCTCCTAATAACAACCAGAAGCAAAAAAAAAAAAAAAAACGTCTTCTGTGACATGCTTGCTGTCATATTTTTAACAGCGGTTTTGGTTCTCAACACCATCCTGCCCAGGTGTTTCCTGTCATGGTTTTTCCTCATAAGTCACATTGTCCATGTTGGCTGCAGTGACTATCTACCAAATACTAACTTCTGCAAACGTAGCGTGCTAAGTAGCTAGCCAATCAAATAGCGGAGTGGCAATGCGCAATCAGCTCCAAATTGGTGTCATGGGCAAATGCTTTGGGCATGCGCACTGTAGTTTACACAGTCCGGTCACTTGACTCTGCAAGTGTGAGGCCAGCTCCACACTGGCCTCTGAAGCCAATGTGCCATTAAAACACCATTTTAAATATATTCTACCCAGTCACTGGCCTTAACTTGTAAATAAGGATTAATAACAGCAGCGTTTGAGGATTTTTATGCCATGTATTAATCCAAAATTATTCACTCAGTACCACTAAAACCAGCAGGTGGAGTTTTGTCGCACTTCCTCCATATGCCCCATGGCCTCTAGAAACCTGCACTAGTGTAAACATACCAAGTAAATGTGTCTTTAATATTCTACTTTGATTAAACACTCCACTAATAAGTCCTGTTTCTCGCTCCAACAACTTCATGACTGGACTTGAGTGCAGTTGATGATTGATTAAGCTCTGTTTTAGGAATATTTGAGGTTGAGTGGTTTCATTTAATCCAGAACCAGTTGCTGTATAAAGTCTCACTAAATACATTTGTGTTTTCATTGAAGTGCATTAAACAGTCTTTCTTCTCCTTCAGGTTCACTGAATCAACAACAGAACAAAGCATGGTGCATTTTCTTTTGCTGCTGTAGTTCTCGACTTTCAATATTAAAAATCCAAAATATGTTGACATGTCTTTTTGTGCTTTACACCCAAAATACATTTACATCTACAGTTTCTGGGCTTTTACTTTGAAGGTGAACTGACTACAGAAAACATCCTGAGCGTGTTATTAAACATTTGAGGCATAGAAGTCACATGTTTATGAAATAAAAAGTATAAATGGAAAATTGAGATGGATGTTTGTAAATAATAAAACCTGATTGAAACATTTTGTTCATGTATAGTGTCAATAGTCACAATAAATATTTCCAAACAAAACATAAAATCTTTAATGGAAAGATGGGAAGACATTTCTTTGATTTGAAGTATAACAAATATAAACATCTGACGAGAGCATCAACAAAAAACAAAAGTAAGAGAGCAGGGATTGTCTCATATCGAAGCTGAAAGCTGCCTGTGGCTACAGAAATAACATCCATCCTCTTTTTGGAAGCAGTCAGTGAGAAGAAGTCCTGTCAAACAGGACCTGAGAGGGAAACATTTACCCCAAACGTCCCAGAGCTGTGCTCCGTTTTTCTGTTCATGATATCCTGTATGGTGGAGATGTGCAATGGTTCGCTCCGGTCCCTCCGTGGGACCTGAAGCAAGTCCCCCCCCGCACAACAGGGCTTTGGACGCCTGCGTCTAAACGCCCGTTTCTCCGCCCGGGTCTTTGGTGGAGGGAACCCATCACAGACTTGGCTGCAAGCTGTGGTGATGCCACAGAAGGAAGGGTCATCCGAATGTGAAGACCCCTCTGAGCTGCCCTCCGACGGCGAGTCTCTAAACAAAGGTTGGAGCAACCTTCTGGCGAGGGGTGTGGGGTTTGTGGTGATGGGTGCACCGTTACATAAAACAGCTCCATTACACAGTTCTGGAGCTTGAATAGAGGGCTTCAGAGTCTCCACTTCCTCCGTGGGTTTCATCTTACGGCGTCTCCTCTGTGTGGGAAAAAGCGAGGAAGAAAGAACTGTTAACCGTTAATCAGTTACAACCTGTATTTCAAGCTGATATCGAACAAAAATAAACAATCTAATGTTTACACACCTTTCTGTTAGCTGGACAAAGACTCTGCGTCTCCTCTGGATGCAGCATTTCTGGGCCTGTGAGCCAAAGATTGAGGTTAATTTCTACCAAGATAACAAAATGGCTCAAACTCTTATTTATTCAAGATATATCAAAAAACAACCTTGAAGCAGATTCATATTATTACCCTGATAGCACTTGTGTAGTAGAGCCTTACCTTCAGTGGCGGCAAGTGAGTGTATGAGTGGATAGGATGCACTCCTCTTCAAGCCCGTCTCCTCACAGGAAGAGAACTGCCTATTAAGAGAACAGCAATGGTTGAGGAACAAGGCTGCGTGTAGCAACTTTTATTAAGACATGAGTCACGGCTGAGTCATCACTTAAGATTCCAGCTGCGATGCTCTCGATGATGAATTGCATCAATAAACTTGCTTAATGAGTAGAAGCCGTTCAAGGCACAGTAACCTCGGCTCGTTAGATGTTATAGCCCATTTAGAGCTGCCACTCAGTGCTTAGTCACACTTAGCCTCTCCACTCGAGCGGTTTCTTTTGCCACCATGTATGTGTGGCTTAATCTTTCCTTGTATCTTGTTATAAAGATAGTATTTGTCATCATATATATATTATATATATATATTTTTTCCAGTAGAAAGTACACGTTTGATTGTCTCGCTACCTTTCAGGACAGCAGTAGGTGTAGCTCTTGGGTATGGGTGGCTCTGGTTCGGTGGTTGGAGGAACGGTGGCGATGCGGCAGTGGTTTGCACACAGCAGCAGGCCGAGACACAGACACAACACCAGAGACAGCAGCAGGTAGTTCTGCCTGTCTGACACCTGGGAGACAGACCATTGATCATATCATTAAGAAAACAGTGGCAATGTCTGATGCATTGTGACCACGGAAAAATACAGTGAGGAAAATGTATATATGGTATCCATATAAATGAAACATTTTGCTGTAACAGAATACAGTTACAGTTTATGCATCCTTATTACAGTTACTCCCCAAGACTGGTCAGGACCCACGTATGATCCTAATGACTTGGTCCCAGGAAAAGACTCAATTTACTATCAGGCTGAAAACAACTCCTGATTACAGATGAAGGCTTTGTGCATGGAGCGTTGTAGCTACCTCCTCCTGCAGCTGGCTGACTCTGACAGACAGGTTGAGAACCAGCTGAGTGAAATTCTCCAGCTGGCCCTGCAGCAGCTGAATGGACTCAGTCTGACGCTGGTCCTACGGGAGGAAGAGGACAACAAATTAAGCAACCGCGCGCACACACGATCACGTCATTGAAATGGTATGTGTAGGTATTAGGAATAAATATTTGAACGTACAATGTTTTTTTCTGAGTTTGCCACTATGAGTGACCCTGTTCACATTACATGTAGTCATTTGATCGATTGCTAGAATTAAGATATTGATTAGTGCAGCTATAAACCCACAGAGGAAAGAAAATCTGTGGCAAGACTACTCCGCCTGGCAAGACTTTTAAATGCATTTTGAATCAATAGAACAATATGGTTTTGTGACAACTCACTTTCAACTGTCTGGACTAACATCTGTGCCCTTTCATTGCCCACCTGTTCCTCTGCTATTCTAGAAGTGTTCTGGAGTTTAATGATTGTTGTGTTGAAAGCCTTCTGCATCTCCTCCATCTGCTTTCGATACCTTGAGTCAAAACATGGAAGATTAAGTCTGAATATCAGCCTCTACTCAGTTTAAAAACAAACCATACTTTGCTTTTTTTCCTCTCTGTAGCACTCTCACCTCTGGCTTAGCTGCTCCAGGTAGCGTCCGCTGAGTGACATGTTCATCTCCAGGGCCTTGATGCGGTTGTTGAGCCTCATGAACACGGACTCCTTCTGGCTGGAGCCGTGCACTGTGTTTCCGTTCTGCTCCGTGCCGTTGGGGGCCTCGGCGTAGATGTCTGAGAGCGACGGCGAGGGAGGCTTGCCACCTGACGATGTCGGGATGTCTTCCGCGAAATCCTCCGTTTTAGTTTCCGTGATGGCCGAGAGACCACCAGAAGAGGGCTCAAGTTCTGTTATGGCGTCTGGAGCAGGGTGGGATACCTCAAAGGAAGTAGTGCTACCTTCAGGTACAGTTGGTGGGTCGGGGTGAGGTTCTGATTGAGGGGAGGTGGTGGGATGGAGAACTTTGGATTTGTCCGTGCTATCTGGGATTTGCACTGAGAAGTCTGTCTCCGGTTTAGAAACCTCAATGTCAGACTTCTCTTCTGTTGGTGCCACTGAGGCATCGTCCACTGCTGCACTGACCCCGGGTTTTACATAGATGGAGCCACTGAGAGAGGCTGAAGGCTCAATGTGCTTCTCTTCTGCCAGCACGTCTTGGCTCTTCTCTGGCTTTGGCTCCTCAGAAGACAGCTGTGGTGTCTCCACAATAGGAGGTTTGGCAGAGGATGAGTCAGTGGCACTGGGTTCGGGGAGGTTCGAGGTCCGACTGGGCTCCAACAGAGGAGGTTCAGACATAGACTCTTTATGAGATTCTACCGCGTTCCCTGGGGGAGGTGGCGTTTCTGACGGTCTGGCTTCGCTCTCTAGCTCCTGTTCGGAGGCTTGTTCTCGTTCATGGGGCTGATGTACCTCACTGGAATGCTGCTGAGGTTCAGGGCAGGCAGAGGGAGTCAGAGGTATATGCCGCGTGGGTGTTAGGATGGGAATAATCATTTGCTTTCTGTTCATAGTTTGGCATCTCCGTTTCTTGGACAGCAGGGCTGAACACTGCCGGTGGAGATACTCCTGGAGGGAAGCTGCGCAAGAGGAATCAAAGGAAGTAAGTAGTGAACAGTAGTTCTGGCGCTCATGCTGATTCCTTTGCTCTTTTTCTTCATCAAACTCCTCCTTTTCTAAAAGAGTGATTGTAGAGCTGATTGGTTCCTCCTCCTCTTTCTCTAAAGGGAAGACAATGTTTTCCTCCACTTGGGGGAGCTCTAGTTCGCTTGTGTCAGCTGTAGATGTCTCTGACTCAGAGGTCTCTGAGGACGGGATATTGGGGTCGGGAAAACTCTCTTCCACTTCAGAGTCTGGACTACAGATGGAGAAGGACAACATAGTACATATAGTAAATACAGTAAATACAGTAAAAGAAAACAACATAACATCTAGAGAGCATGTAGAGCAACCCTCATCCACTATTTCACAAACTACTGGCTAATGGAAAAGCCAAAGTCCAGGTATGAGGAACTAATAAAAGCTACCCGGACGTATTAAGCGGCAGCCATGATAAGAGCTGGTTAAATTCTTTAAGTGGGAACAGTGCTTCAGTGCTTCCTTTCTGATCTCTTTTAGCATCAGGTACACTGGACCGTCCTTTACAGAAGCAAAGGCAATAACACTTAAATCAGTCAGTATAATGAAATTACGTTTCTTTGTTCAACTCTGAAAGATGTTGCAAAACTCATGACATGCACTCACACTGAAGTGAGGTCTTCAGTGGTGGATGGAGAGCTGGTATCAAGTTGGTCTGATGGCTCTGTCATGTTCACTTCCTGTGATGAAAGGTTACCTAAGAAAAGTAAACAAGAAAAACAACATTGAGAGCGAACACACAAATAATCATCGGCAACATTTATTGTCAACAACTGAATCGTTGGATAAACGGACTGTAAACAGGTTGTGAGAGAAAACTGGATGTCGAAACGTTAAGCTAGGTGTTGCGTTGGTCATACCTTGCATCTCTGAGCCTCCACCGAGAACATTGACAGCAATGTTATTTACCATGTTCAAAATCACATCTGAAGAGAAATATGTAAACACAAGTCAATACAGTTGTCCAGGTTCGGGATAATGGTGGTCAACTTTATGCAGTAGCAATCCATGTTTACCCTTTGCTGATCCAATCAGATTGTTGGATAACTTGGCTTCACCATGTGCATATCCAGGAGGATAATCTGTAGGGAGCAGTGTACTTAATAACACGCACCAATCCAATGACAAACCATTAATGTTTAATGATAAGTATGAATGTAATACCACTTCAAATTCTGGGATTTTTGGTGCATTAACCAGAAACATAACACACAGATGAACCTTTCAATGGGACTAGTTTATTATATTATCCTGTGTGATACAAACTGTACCAAATTGGTTTGTGTGTCTTGCGTGCTGAGAAAATTCCTAATATGTGATGATCTACGTTCTCACCCAAGTCATCATCCTGATCATCTGGTCTTTCTGCAGGATCAGCGATCTCCTCGTACTCCTCGACCATGCTTGTGCCAAACACCCTGGCAACAAAAAACGTACATGAAAATCATTCTACAACCAAGCTCACGTTACAGTGAAACCTAATCCGTCTCATCTAGCAACATAAAAGTGATCTACTCTCAAGGCTAGGAGAGCCTGTAGGAGGCAAAGAGCTACACTAAAAGCCTACAACTCACACACACACACACAGGTCATATAGTATAGGAGAGTCCTCCAACAGCTGGTCTCTTTCTCAAATACTTCCACCTCTTTGGTACATAAGCCAGATATGCATTTTGCAGAAGTGTAAAGAACAGCTGCTAACATCTGCATTAGCTCTCCTTGTTCCCACCGTGTGTACAGTACAGCGTGGGCAAAGACGGTGTGGTCGGAGTGAGCTGGCCATGACCACATGCCAAATATTACATAACATCATTTGACACCATCTAGAGCTCCTGAAGTATGCAACAAGCTCTCATTAGGAGACACACTTTAAGCCAACTGGTTTAATCAGCGTTGATTAGAATAGAAAAATGCATAATCAACAAAAAAGACATGAAACACAAAACATTAAAAATGAAGTACAATGACAAGAACATGACACATCCATAAAAATACAAACATGTCGCTTTCGTGTTCCATAGTAAGGTTTCTTAATTCTTACTTATTAACTATGTTAATGATTACGTACCTTATGAGACTGAGGGGACAGAAATGTTCAGAGCCAAAGTGAGAGACCAGCTCTACCTGAAAAAAAACAAAAAACATATTCAAATATTGTCATGGAAGTGGGCGATGTATAGAGTGCTGCAGGGATGACGTGTTTTTGTGGGCCCGGAAGTTAGCATCGCACTGGTTCCCAATTCAATTTTCCATTGGATCTTGGATTATTAAAAAAAGCTCTGTGGCAATTTAACACAAGTTCTTTTTTTATCTTTACACAGTTGTTCAGCAAGACAATCTTGACAGATGAACAGCACTTATATGATTTTTGAAGCGTGAATGCAAAATAGGCAGAGGTAAAAAGCTAACGCTAGGCTATAAGAGCATGTGGCTATACAGGCAGGTTTGTGATGACGTTTTGCAGTCTCATTTAGACACTTGAAAGCAACTGCCTTTTTTAAGACACGTAAGAGCTTCAGAATTCACAAGAAGGGTAGCTACTGACGTATTTCATGTTGCAGAACAAAGCGTTAAAATCTCTTAAACTTGTGTTAATCAGTCCTTATTACAGGCATCGAGCCAAAAAACCATCGACTTTGAGACAAGGGAACCTGAGGTGCTTGAGGACTCTTTCCCGCAGCACTCTATTGTTGTCTGCGCCGTGTTTTATTTTAAATTTGCAAACAGCAAAGCCATGATTTTGTTTTATTGTAAAATCAACACAATGAGTTTAAATGAAACAATGACTGATTGCTAATAAACCTGTCAGTATCGGGTAAGTTAGATCATTTGACATAATATGCGTTTTTATTTGATGACAACTCATGGGTTTGATTTTAGGAGTTATCAAATATTCATTACGTGAGATTCTATTGAAAGAGCATTTATTGAAGTTACAATAGGTTAGCAGTTAGCATAGCAAGTCAGATCTGAATGTGTTTAGATATGATCACACCACTCAGACAAAAAGAAAGACACAACCCCCCCCCCCCCCCCACCCCATGTTTACTATTCAGCTCACACAACCACAGATCTCTACAAGAAAAGTAGGCTAACCTTTATGTACTTGGTGAACATCTGAAGCAAGAGAGACAGAAAAAAAGAATTAAGAGGCGTACACATGCATTCAAAACAGGACCGAAGAGCGTATGTTGCTTTTCATTTGAGTCACTTCAAAGGCAGATCAACCAAATGTCAAAATCTAGAATGTTAAACACTACATTTTACATTTCAGAAAAGGTCTGGTGCTCTTATCCATAATAATAATACCAAATGATAAACACTGATATTGTAATCCACAAAAGGCCAAGACCTCATTTTCTACAGTGAAGAGGCCAAAACCTCCATCGAAAGAGATTCAGAGAGAAAATGTACCGAAACAGCTGGACAGTTAAATACTCACCTGCATTAAGAGATTACAGCGATTCCTCTGCACGACATTAGCACAGAGTAGAGACAAACGCAATGGTGAAGTGTCTAGAAAAACTCACCTTCACATATTTAGCATAAAGATGCTCATCTAGTGGGAAGCTCTGGACTGTGCGTTCATCCCGGGCGTGAAAGGTTCCCAGCTTCAGCCACTTGTTGGTCGGATATCTACAGGAGAAGGTAAATAAATAAATAGAAAGAATACCAAAATTGGTATTAAACTGGTGGATACTGTATGTGTGGTAGCTGCAGTACATACCTATCACTGATGGAGACCAGAAAGTCTTTGGGGGTAGAAGAGAACAGCTCAAAGTTAGCGATGTCCAGCTGCTTCACCTGGATGGGCTCACAGAGCTCAATGATGAACCTGGGCGAGAGCGAGATAAAAGTGGAGGTGAAAAGAAATGTCGTCAGGTTGAATCCGTGGATAGAAAGCAGGAGATGCAAGCATACTACATACCAGATTTTATTGCTACAGGGGTTTAGCATGTACAAGTCCATGTTCTCCTTCAAAATGGCCGAAGTGCTCTGTATGGAACAAATTCACAGATTAATATGCGTTTGTATTTGTCACGATGTGAACATCCCTGAGAGTAAGCAGATTCCTCAATAGGCTGTAGTATCACACATACGGTACCTTTGCCTCTGGGTTAGCGCCAAGTAACTTGGCTCCACACTCCACTGAGGCGTAGTTATTGAAGTTCTTCTGGACCTTCTTCACCGTAGGAGGAGCGCCATTGTTAGAAGTATGAGTGGACTGAGCTATTGAGAGGACAAACAGAATAAATAACCGGAATATATGTTATGTTCGGAATCATCAACCTTAACACAACGTTGTAAAAAGGACAAACTTGGACTCGTACTCTTTTCATTCTCGACCTTCATCATATTCCGCGTCCACTCGTCAAAAGTGGGGATGTCCTCGGGGTCTTTGCTGCTCACACTGGAATCGGTGCTTGTGGAGACAGGGGACCTCAGGTCCTGTCAAGAGATAATGAGAAAATGAGAGCTGGGGCACCTCCTTTGGTAGAGAGAGGGAAAAAATAGCTCACTCAGTATCCGAGGTCCTTACTTGCTCTTTTAGCACGTTTGATGCGTTGGCCTCTAGATGTTGTGTGCTGGGACCAGTCTGAGGTGGGTCACCGTGGGTTTTAGTACCTGCAGTGTGAACATTGGAAGTGTTCTCCAGAACAACTGGAGGACTGCTGTGAGAATAAAAAAACAAACAGTTCTTTTGTTTGAGAGTGCAAGAGTCCCATTTGCCTTTTAATATGACCTATAACCAAATGCTGCTGCTGCTTACAGTGAAAGCCAACCTGACGACAATGCTAGAGAAATATTTCTTTAGATATTTTTAGCTCACTAAGTAGGACACAAGACTGACCGCACCCACCTGTCATTGTCATATGGGTTATTCTCTTCTTCTTCTTCTTCTTCTTCACAGTGTGCTGGAAGCAGGACAGAATCAATGACCTCGGGTTCAGCTACGTCAGCTTCATCGTCTGAAACTCTGAAATGAAACAACAATCCATGTTACACTTTTGCAGCCATTTTATTTGCAGGGAAACGTCAAAAAAAAAGTTAATATTTTAAAGGAAGTTGCTCTCTTACAGTGCTGTTACCCGAAGTAATGTACATTTACTGAAACACCAGAATGAGATACAGCAAAGCAAGTATGCTTTAAAAATAACCGACAGATTAAATGAGCTGAACAGCTCTTGTGGAGATAAAAATATCTTGCCTATCTGGGATGTTGTCTTGAAGATTATGGGTGTTTGAGTTGTCTTCAAGCTCAGCAGCAAACTCGGAGACCGGGCGGGAGGAAGGCAGCAGGGAGGCTGAGTCCTGGTCTAGAGTGATGGAGGTTTCAGGATGTTGATTCTCTGAGCTTTGCTCAGGTTCTGGCTCAGGTTGCAAAATTCCTTTGTCTGCCTCCAACTGTTCCTCTACAGCCGGCTCCTCTACTTCAGAGGCCTGATGGATATACACAGAGACATTTGAGCTGTGGAGGGAAATATTAAAACGGTTGGATTCATCAACCAAACACTTAAAGCTTCACATGCTGCAGGAAAGATCAATAGAAAGGAGTGGATGGTACGGTGCAGATCCAGTTCTAAAACTGTTGTGCTGCTCTGGAGGAAACCAAATGGAAAAAAACTTTGGAAATCTGTTTTTGAAATGATCATTCACGTACATTAAGCAGCACAGAACAAATATGTAGTATTTAGATCAAGTTTTAATTTGCTACAACTACACTGTACCTCTATATATTGGTTTTCGTCCACCTCTTCTGTTGTCTGCTCCTCTATTTGCCGATCGCCCTCTATAAACTGCTCATTTTCAGATAAGGACTGGGCAGGTAAGACCTGGTTCTCCTCAATCTAGAGAAAAGCACACACAAATCCATACACAGATAACATTGACACCATAAAGGGGACAGTTCAGTCACAGAAGCCAAATCATCCCACTGATACTGTTGTGCTACTACTGTAAATCCGGTACGAGTCGAGCATGACAGCAGGTTTACTGTGTGCTTAAATCAGCTAGAAACTATATAATGGCAGTGTATGGTCACATGAGTTTTGTTTATTCAGCAACCTGTGACACCTCTGGGCAATGAAATGGGTTGCACTGTGATAACATACAGCTGATGCTACCTTGCGATGATGACTCCTTTCCCCCGACTCTTCCTCCGAACCGACGTCCTGTGAGGACACGGGCCTCTGGGCCTCTTGGTGCGCCTCGGTGCAACCGACATAACCACTAGGGTCCCTACGAGACACGGGGAAAGAAAAGCACTGTCATCATTCCATGCGAGTCAATTTGTCTGAATGTGGGTCCCTTGTCCTGGTATCTGGGAGAGAAGTATAAGTACTGCATTTGGGTATTCATAAACTCTTGAAACACGCATACTAAACATTGTGTTTGACTGCAGTCAGTCATACACAGTGGAAGCTGCAGCCCAGTCTCACAGCATGACGCACTGAGAAAGTCCCGGCGGCCTGGACCCCAACGTAGACTATTTATCTTATCTGTATGCGGAGTCCGGAAATGTTGTCCTTTTACAGAGATACACCTCAATCAAGCTGCATATTGCTCAACCCGAGTGTAAGGCCTGAAAAATGAATGTGAAACCTACAATGGTATATTTATATTTCGATATGTTCCGTTTTTGTCCGTTGTCTGAAACCTACTGTGTCTGTCACTTGTTTAGTGACAAGATACAAGTGAACATGAAAATAAAGAATTAAAAACATTTCAAAATTACCTAATTTTGAAATGTTTTTACACAGTTTCACTGTGTAGAGATATGAAAGGCCTGTATGTTTGTTTTAAACACCACAGTTAGTTACTGTGCCAGAAACAATGGTCAGGTTCACTGAGACTGTGCTCCCCCCTGGGAGGAAAACAACAATAATTAGCAGTAGCAAGGCTTTAAATAACTGCAGTAATAATGATAAGTTCCTGTGGGGGGGGGGGGGGGGATCCCCATTGTACCGTCTCAAAGGCCACACTTGAAACAGCGACTGCAGACTTGTCAACAATCCGAGCAATTATCTGGATTTTATTCTGCATTCCAGGTCAAGTACTCTACTTGGCCAACGGCTGGCTGACGCAACTGCTTTGTTGATCTGACTTGAGGGGCCAGACATGTTAGTGAACAACAGAGCAGTTGTTTTCTAATTAAAAACCCCCAAAGGAGCAAGAGTGGTATTAAGGCATGAGCTTTTACAGAGCACGTTGGGTATCAAGACTATTATGCAACACATTAAACAGATAAAGATGTCTCCCACATGTGCAAAGATCATGTTGATGTGACACATCTCTGAATGACAAGTGAGTCTCTCAACTTCAGTCACATGACACATCATCAACTGCTCCAATTTTCAACCTGTGTAATAATGTGATAAGGTGATTTAGTACGTGGCGATATGGCATCACATGTGTGGTGATTATGATTTCATGCACTACTCAACTTATTAGCCCCTTTCATACAAAGTGCTTCAGATTCACAGAGCAAGATTACAGTACAAAAAAAAAAAAACACTACAGACAAAATAAATAATAGACACTTTAAAAAAACTCGCAAGACAAAAACTTTAAACAATACAATTGTAGTCCCTTAGATAGGCTCAAGAGATAGAAACAGTGTGAAAACCAATGATTAAGACTTCAAAACTAAGGCAATAAATGCAGCTTAAATAAAAGCCAGGCTAAACAGATATGACTAAAGGTTTATTTTAAAAGTGTCACTAGACGGGCTCCTCAGATCCTCAGGCAGAGCGTTACAGAGACTAAAAGCTCACTCCCTTAACAGGGGCCATAATCAATGTTATCAATTACACCTGTGTTTTACTCCACAAAAACTAAACTAACATCTATAAACTGAGAAAATCCCACAGCTACTGAATTGTACCAGCGCTGCAGAGTTAAATCGAAATCGCCTTAGGCAATTTTCAAATGGCAGGAGGCCAAATATTTGTTAAGAGCAAAATGTACGTCATAAAACTATTGTATATTAAATACTGTCGTGCTGCAGAAATGTCCTGGCCTACACTTTAAATTCTACAGACTTAAGAAAAAAAAAATCTGTGTTTAGTACAGATCCCCGCAAAAATGACAACATAATACCTTAAATGTGTGTCAATGGAATTGAGAATGATTATGTTGAAGTTATCGTACCCTGTAATACAGCAAATCATATCGCAACATCAGTCAAAATAATTTTCTAAATGTTACTGTTCCAACAGTAGAGACAGGCATCAAAAGGTTAAAGAAATATTACCACAGCTTCAATGAGAACCCAAGCTATGCTGGTGAAAGTAGGCCAGGTCAACAACATAGATATTAATACACATAATAACACATCGTACCACCTCCTCCCTTTACTCTCTATCTGAAGTACAGTAGTCGGTGTGTGTTGTTGTTACTATCCTCAAACATCATGTCATGGCTGCAGCCCCTCATCCTACATAATCCTTCTCTCTGCTGGCTTTAACGTGCTCTGTAAGACCCAACAACTGACGTGAACGACCAATAATCCTGTCAAGAGCTGATGAACCAGATCTGTCAGGTCGGCTAACGTTAGCTCTGTGACAGTGTGGCTCGTGGGACTCAACAGTCATTGATATAACGTTAGACTCAGCAAATTCTCTCGTGGTTTTTTCAGTCAAAAGTCTTTCACACACGTTATGTTGTCAGTTTGAGTTTAAAGAGATTGATACGTGACAATTTATGGCGGGGCTATATGTAACTTACGTCAATTCCTCTAAATCACTCAGTAACGTATAAGCACCATTAAGGTGTAGAAGTATACGTTTTAGATAGTTACTATCTGAGGTATACAACTTGTTATCTATTTATCTATACGTTAGCTGTGTTAAACCTAGCTAACAAGCTACTTATGCTCAGCAACTCAAGCTAACCGTAACAATGACAACAAGTCAGAAGTCAGCCAGGTGCCACATCACAGCGTCATGTTTACTCCAACGTTATCTAGCTAGCTAGCTAATGCAATACTTTGAAATGGATTTACAGTTGAATAGTTATTCACAATCAATGACGTGGTAATAAGACTCAGTCCAAATGGGGCAAATTAAATCAACTTACCGACAGACTACAGCGACACACAGCAACACTGACACAACTCTCCATAACAGTGGTTTCATCTTCATCCCTCTCCTGCTGGGACAGACATCCTCACCGTGACGTTACTCGGAAATACGGTTTTCTGCTTTGTCTCTTGAGCTGTGTATAGTATTAATTCAGTGTTAATTCCCCCGCTGTTTCTTGTTAACTTAGCTTGCTGCTTCCCCAGCGAAGTGTGATGCTAACCGTTGTCACCTCCCCCCGTACACACACAACCTGTTTCTACCGATCGTCAGTGCGTGTCAGCGGGCGACTCAACCGTCCAATCAGAAGGCAGAGAGGCTGTTGCGCAGTTCACACTTAGCACGTGCTAGAGGCGTTCGTTTCGAGGACAATGGTTGCCCGCGTGGGTGGTGCTTCTTTTAGTGAGGTATTTATGTTGGCTACTCCTTTCAAATGTTAGATAGTTAGAAAGTTACTTTAATAATCCCGCAAGGGGACATTTTTTTCGCTACAGCAGTATTTATGGTACAGGTAAAGCAATACAAATAACAGAGTAAAAAATATTAAACATAAAAATGCAAATATAAGAATAAAAATACACAATATATACAATGAATTAGAATAATATTAAAATTAACTAACTAAACAATAGTGCAAAGATTTAACAAAACAAAACAAACAAACAACAGTGTAACAGAGTTATAGTCGTGTAATTGATTTGGCCAGAGGTGATGTATTATAAAGTCGTAATGCAGATATTGAAATGGTCCCAGAATATGATAAATATGACTCTCGTCACTGAGATGTGGTATTTAGTGGGTTGATAAATGTGACGGATGCCGTGTCAACATCTGATGGTAAAAAAAAAATTGCCATACATAAACTCAAAAGTTAGATTTGTAGTAAAACCGCGTTTGAATACGAAAACATCTCATGAGATAACGTTTCTGTACATCTATGTGCAGCAAAAGCAATTTGTCAATTAAAAAAAGAAGTGTTAATTGGGCCGTGGGAGTTCACTTTTCTTTTTTCAGAACAGAAATACTGCAGTAGGCCTAAATTGAGTCCAGGCTGCCTAACAGTAAATGCATGTTGATGTTGAGGTCACTAGATGGAGCCAACTACGCAATATTCAAAACGATTGTTTTAACCCCCTAGGTGAGGGCAAAAGACGAAACTTCTTAAGAGTATAACACTAAATGAAAGGGGGCACCTCCTACATGAACAGCGCTGTGCCCAAAGGTCATACCCTCATGTCTATGATATGATCACACCAGAGCAGCACTTTAGCTACTGTAACCACATGGCACATGAGCAGTCAGCTTAAAAGACGTATTAGGATATATAGATCAGATATAACTTTCCCATCATCTAACATGCCAGCTGTTGATAAGTAAATCACTGCAGTCCCTGTTTATCCTGATCAAGCTCCTTTGAAATGAAATACTTTGTCCAAAAATATTTGCCCCATTTTTTTAATTCATAAATTACTGAAATAACTGTACACTTAATGTGGCCTCTGCCACCATCGTGTGGCTGCCAGTGAAAACAGTCTGGTTTAATGTACATGATTAGACCATTGGCAGAGGATGTAAGATGTATCGCACACTGTTCTATAAATCCAGACATTTGGGAGGAGGTGCCAGCAGCCTTTTTATTGACATATGGAATACTAGTTTTAAACACAATAGTTTGAAGTTGAGAGTTGTAAATATTATTTCATCTTTGAAATCAATATTGATTTGTTATGTATGTGTAATGCACTGCCTCACAGTGATGAAAATAATCTATTAGAGCCGTCTTTTGGCTAAAAGAAAATTCAACATTAAGTTTGTGATCTTGAAGAAATAATTGAACGTGGTAATAATACTACATAAGGTTATTTAACTTAGTAGCATATAATAAAGACTCTATTGACAAAGTGAGACATTATGAGGAAGAAGTTTATTGAGGAGCGATACAGAGACACAAAAAATAACAACTGATGCAATTCCCCAGTTTACCATTATGCCCTCTGCTAAACAATGCCATCTCACTTTAACTGGAACCATTTCGTTGTTGTTCTTCAGCACATTATATTTATTTTCTTCAACTTTCCAATTCTCTTTCTACATTTAGCTTTGGCAATACAGAATTGTAACTCATGCCGGTAAGGCAGTCTAAATTAGAGAGAAGAGAGCATTTAGTGAATAGAGACACAGAGAACGATTAAAGCGCTAGGATCCGTGATGAGGTCTTAATAGTCCACGGGTACAGTATCTCCTTATCATTACCTATATACATCAGAACACAGTTTAGGCCCACATACACAATAACAAACTGACAGAGAAGCACTTGAACATTGACAATACCACCTTAAGCTCTGATGGAGATGCTGACTGACTAGCTTCGATGGTTGTGAGAGAAGAGGAAATACGAGAGACTAGAAGAGTTGAGAAAAGAGAAAGAGCGCTAGTTTGTGATGGGCATGGAGTTGCAAGTTTCAAACCTGAGAAAAAGGCTAAATGGAAACATGTTCTTTGTTCGTTCAAGAAGGAACTTGTGTTAAGTTGTTCTTGTTTTTTTTCCGTCTCACAGGTCAGCATCTGAACCTGAGCTTAAGGCTGCAAGGGTCACAACTTGACCATTGATACAGCACAGGTGGACACCTATGACAAGGTTAAATGTATTATTGAGGCTGTTTCCATATAGAGAATACTGACGGTGCTCCTCAGCCTTGCTATGTGTGTGTGGCTGCTACTACAACACAGGAACAACTCACAAAAGTCCAACATTAAATTTACCCCCGAGGGTTTTATGATTCATCATTAACAGCTTTGACCATGAAAACAAATACAAATGAAACGCCAACAAACATGCAGACGGACAGCACATGCACACATGTCCTCACACACTCGCACACACGTACACAGAGTTACTCTCACACAAACACGCACATACACGCACACATACTAAGATACAACTTCTGTTCCTAAGAGAACATTAAGCTGATAATTAACACTGAAGGGGGCATTATACAATAAATTAATACAATACTAAATCAAACCCAGCCTACATATAGGCAAATTAGTCCCTCCCCCGTATACATACACACAAAACACACGCACACGCACTCTACATACAGTACACACTCCCATGCAATAAAAGCAGCTTATGTGCCATGCTGCATTTTGGAATGAGTAGGGCAGTGCAGCTGCTGAGCATATTTTTATGTAGAAGCAGCAAGTGGCTGACTTGATGAGGGGTTTGTGAGAGAGGGGGGGGGATTGAGGTTCCAGGGACTGATACTGGGTAGTGGATCTGCTAAGCAAACCTGGACCACAGGCGAGCAACAAGCACATGTACACATACACCACAATACAAGTACCATACTGTACATAGATATATGGACATCGTCACCTGGCAGGGAATTCAGGGTCAAGGGGTCAAAGACGTCAGTGTCTGCACTAAGGAGGGACCGGGACGGCAGAGCCATGGCTAGTAGAGGAGGGATGGAGTAGATGAGGGAGGGAGATAAGTGTGTGAGGAACCCATTTAGATGTTTACGGTGGGGCTTGTCTTGTGGGAGATGGCGGGGGCCGCCGGCTTGGGGTTGAAAATGAATGATAATGTGTAAGGAGAAGTGTGAACAGGACAGATAAGAGATGAGACAAATGAGAAAAGAGGAGTAAATAAGACAAAAGGAGACAAGAAAAGAGACGAGATTAGTCTTCACGCAGATTTAAGATATGTGTGATGCTTTGTTTCAAAGTAAAAATTGTACAAACTTCTTCAATGTCTCACACAGAGTCAAAATCATCGATTTAAAGATTGTTAAAAACAAAAATGCTTAGTTAGATGAGAAGATCGATAACACTGTCACGTCTTTATTCTAAATATGAAGCTACTGCCATCAGCCGGTTAGCTTAGCTTAGCATAAAGACTGGAAAAGGGGGGAAAGAATTTGCCTGGAAAGAGCTCTTCAAACTATTTGTTGAGCATTTCACTATTTAAAAAAAACACACCTCTCGTTTCATTTTTAGCTCAGTATTTACAATATTTACAACTTATACGTCATCATGGTCACCTGCAAAACTGTTGTTGGCTGGCTTTCCATAGAAAAACAGATTCAATTTGTTGGCTGTAAAGGAATTAGCTCTTGCTCTAGTAGCAGATATAAAGCACTTAATAAGAGCAGCTGAGATTTGATTCTGAGCAGAGATAAACATAAATATAGTATGATTAATGCCAATGAGAAATTGTAGTTATATGGTCTTAATCTTTCTTCCCTATCCTCAAAGGCATCAGAAGAGCAGGTTTTTTTTGCATCTTCCTGATAGATAAGTTATGTGAAGGTTGCATTTACCTGGGGATGCTAGGAGGGGCCCTGTTTGGGCGGCTGGGCGCCTGAGGGCTGTCAGCAGTGTTATTGAAGGGCCCCAGGGGTCCTGGGCGGTTTGGTGGTGGCGGGGCCCCTCGGGGAGCCGGGCGCTGGCCTGAGGACATCCTCCTGGAGGCAGTGGGGCTGGATGGAGGAGACCTGGAGCAGGAGAGAAGACATAGCATTGGATAATGTTTAGGACAGAAAGGATGGTTGCAGGTTGCATTTGCATGTATGATCCGTTTAATTCTAGGAACTTTACCTTCGAGCACCACCTGGACCTCCCACCCAGGAGTTGTCAACAGGCGGAGGCATGGGGACGGTGATGGTGGAGGTGGAGATATCACCAATGATGGCCAGGGCCTCCTTCAGGGCCTGGTGGGTCCTCAGCACCTCATCCCTCCTCCGGGCCTGCTCCTGGGACTCGTCCATCAAGGCATTCTGGTCACCTGCAGAGTACAGCTGGGCCAACAGCTCTGCATTGATGAAGTCCTTGACCTAGTGGCAGGAAGAGGTAGTGCAGGATTATGAATCAGAATTGTGAAAATGAAGAAAAAGTACAGGCCTTCCGATGGTCTTTTTTTCTTCACTCAGTGGATATCATGTCACTATTAGTACTTTAATACAGTAATATAAAAGAAAGCTGTCTTCACGGCCCATATAAATGAACAGCTGAGTGATTTTTTTCTTACATTGTTGATCATGAGATGCATGATGGCCTTGGGCATGAGGTCCCGGATGCACTTGTTGACAATAGCCATGTAGGAGTCCACCAGGTTACGAATGGTTTCCACTTTACGCTCCAGCTGAGGGTCCATAGAGAAATTCTCTGTGGCGGCGGTGGTCTCACTCTCAACCTAGAGAGAGAGAAAGTAGAAATACTTTTCAAACAAGGGAAGAGAGAAAATGAGAGACGGGGCTACATTTAAAAGAGGTATTGGGTGCATTGTATGAAACTGACTATTTAATACTGGATGCGTACATTGTGTGTGAAATAAAACACAGCAACTCTCTGAAGTGTAAATGTTAGTAAACTAAGGAAAAATGTTTCCCATTTGCCAAATGTGTATATTTCCAGTATTGCCCTGCAAAATATGTTTAAATATGTAAAGTTTCAAATTTAAAAAAAATGAGCAAAATATTTATGTGGTGGGAAATAAAATGAAAATAATGTAAAAGAGGACAGGTAAAGTCAGTACATAATAATATGTTAGGATCAGACGGAACTGGGGAACCAAAGCTAAGAAACTGTCACCCAGATAGTGAAGGACAAACTGAGTGGAGGATATGAATGAGTTCGCTAACCGCCATGACTTTCTCAGGATAGACCCCGGCACGTAGGAGAGAAGATTTCCAGCTTTCCACATCATCCTGAGCGTCACAGGCCAACTCCAGGGTGCGGTTGTCCTTGTACACATTCCTAAACGACCATGACACAGGAGAATATGCACTCATTTTACACCACCAATTAATGAAATGAACATTACAATTTGAACCAACTAAACAATTACCTATTTCAAAACATGTAGACAATGCTCCCCATTAATGCAAAAATAACAAAAATATATCAACTCTGACATCTGGAAGTATTGACTGTGTTAGATTATGTGCCTCCTTCCATATGGGAAGTTTTGTTGTTTAATCCTTTTTTGGGTTTCGAGCCAAGAGGGATGAAGAAACCGAGTTTCCATAAAACATTTTACAGGACGTTCTGCATCAATTACTGAAAACACAGGCCTGATACTTAACATTTTATACAGCTTCATCATATCATGGATAGATTACAGTCCTGTCTGGGCTTTTTCCTTTGTTTTTGTTATCAACCCACGATAACAACTTCAAGATCCTCAAGTAACTTGTTTTTATAATATCCCCCGGCTATAATTCACTTTAAAATATTTGGTACTGTAAACAATTATTTTACACTTCTTTGTACTTCTTGAACATACTAAATATGAAGAACAAACTTCTTAAACTGAGCTGTAGATGTATTACAAATAGTTCCAGTTTGCCCAAGCCTGCAATCATGCATACATACTGTGCAAAATGCATAATCCGAAACATATTTCAGCCGGCACACAGGCCTTGGACTCTCTAACTCCGTCTACTGCATGTGATTTATGTCCAAAGTCTTGTTTTATTTGCGGCCACATGAAAAGCAGAAGTTAAAATGTTAAGATCTCCCAGCTGACCTTGACTCTGTATTGAAAATACAGAATATGTGCTTGCTGGACATAAAACTCTTCTCCACATCGCGGACCTTCAGGTTGTCCAGAGGGAGCATGTACTTCTTCTCTTTCTCCTGTGAATGAGGAAAACAGAAGGTATGGATCACGAGCACTTTTAGGACAAAAGCAGTTCGCCCTGTTTCTTATTTTCACGAATTCCTGTGCAATGAAATTATTGCCAATTGTGCAAGAATATGTCCACGAGAGAAAGGTGAAATCAGGTTTTTAAAAAGGGGGAGAGGGGGAAAGCAAAGAAAAAAGGGGGTGACCGAAGGGAGGAGGAATGGGGGAGACACGAGAGTGGGAGGTAGGGGGAGAGTGTGTGGAGAAGGGGGAAGCAGAAACAGAGAAAGAAGAGGGAGAAGGAGAGCACATGTGGAAGTCATTACAGTGCGGGTCAAGACACAGTCGTTCTTCACGGTGCGTTTTGCCAAGGAGAGCTGGTAGCTAAAGGCTGAGTAAACTAAGTAAGACGGGGAAAATGCAGATCTATGTGAGCGCTGGAGGTCCAGTGCTCAAACACAATGCTCCTCCTCGGAGGTAGAAGCTGAAGCACAGCTGTATCACATTCAAAGAGGGCCTGTGACGGATGCTTAGGTTGATGAAACTCTGCTCTTCATTTTTACACTCCATCCTAGCCTCCATCTTTCTTAACTCTCTGTCGTTTTTTCTTTTATCCCTCCCCCTCTATATTTTCTCAATATTTTTTCTTTCCATTCCAGAGGGGCCCACTTCCTGCCTGATTTTTTTTTTTTAAGGAAGAAGGAGGGAGAGAGGGAGAGATTAAATGACAGCCTGGCGTTAAAACTCAACATCTGGTAGTGCTTAGCAGCACACAGAGAACCAGGGAAGGAGGGAGAAGTTAGAGAGACGGCGGGTGAAGGAGGAGGAGGAGAGACCGAGAAGAAGGAACACATAAGTGGATTTGCAAAAGATTTGCAGAAGAAAGCCCACATCTGGTTTGAAGGTCCGGGAAGAGGTGGTAGATGGTCGCAGGTAAGACTTAAATAGGATGAAGAGAGAACCAAAAAGACAAGACAAGAAAACTCTGCGGACTCTTCGGTGTTGTATTCCCCAAGGGGTCACTACGGCCCAAATATGGTCACATGGGTCTCCTCCCTCTTCCTCTCTCTTCCTCACTCACTTACTCACACCCCGCCTCCCCCCCCGGTCTCTCTCTTTCCCTCTTTTTTGTTATACCCCCTCCCTGAACGTGCAGCCAGTCTGTCCCAGTCGTCTGAGCGAATATGCCACGTCAAGGCTGGATACTCTTCATGGCCGGCGTGACCAAACCGGACCGCGAGGGGACCCAGAGCTCAAACTTCTACCAAAACAAATAAACACGCCAAGAGACGAGCACCAAAAAGGCTGGGGAAGGCTCCAAACACGGATGAGGCAAATCGCAATTTTGAGGGGTTTTTCGATAGACCGGATCCTTGCTGCCAAAATGGAGAGGGGCGAAGGGAGGGCACGGACGACAGAGCCGACCGCGAGCATCTGGAATGGCAGAAAACAGCACACAGGGCCCGGCTCTTGACTCCGGCTCCGTCCACCCAGTGTTCAGACTACCTGTTCATTATCATACTGGTGTACAGTAGTCTGCACATTGGTTAGACTGGGCATGGACCTTCTTCTGTCAGTCTGTCTTTCTGTGTCACTCTCTTTGTCTCTCTGTTGGCATTTCAAGATGTGTGTTTTATTTGCATCTGTTCTTTCTGTCTCACCCTTTGCTTTTTTTCATCTATTCATAATCTGTATTATTCATCTGTATTTTGTCCTAAGTGCATTCTAACACTCGCCACTTTCTTTTCACTTCTTTTCGGAATAAACATACATCACACATTTTCCACAATAACTGCAGATTTGACAACGTGCCGTGAAAAAAAAAATGTGTGAAAGAATCAAAATTTTGAGCAAGCGCAAAGTCAAAACTCACAAAATGGCGAGCTCACATAATTTATAGTATGAATGAGTAAGTGGCTGCTAGGCTGGTGCTCTGATGAAAATGTGGTCCCCTGGAAGGGGGAGGAGCGAGTGTGGCTGCAAAGCATCTAGGAATGAGGGCCAATCAATCAAGTGGAGTTTGAAAAAATACAGTCAGACACTTCCAGTGAAGTTATTTCAGTGGGTGGCCAAAATGGAGTTGGACGATTTAAGGCAAAGGACGCCAACGTAAACTAGACTGCTGTGGTGTCAAATAACTGCAAAGGACTGGTAGAAAAAGTGTTCTGCAGATGGTGCAAGAGCCCCAGTGCACAAAGAATATATGTGCACACAGTGTTACATTTGACTGGTCCATTAAATGAGTGTTATTCTATTTAGGTAAGCTCTTGCGTCGTTGGTCTGTGGGGAAATTGAAACTTTCGTAACTGTTGCATGTGAAATATTACGCATCATATTGGGACAAAACAGCGACTCAGTATCCTTAAGTGATAGCTGCTTATGAAGTTGAAGGTTTAGGATATCGATATTTAATAGAGGGGTCTCTCTCTGCCGAAGTATTGGAGGCTGATGTTTGGATTTAAAACTTGCGATTTTCCTGCCAAGAATGTGAGCAGTTCCAAAGTAACTGCCAACCACAGGAGTGAGGAGGGTGTGTGTGTGTGTGTGTGTGTGTGTGTGTGTGTGTGTGTATCCACGAGTGTGCACGTGCATGCGACTATAGAAAGTTCATGGGGTGTAAAACAGAAATATACAAGGCAAAGCCAGTGGAGTCTATAATTTCCTATATTACCGCACTAACGTATCAAATGACATTCTGTAGACGCAGTGCTGTGCGGCCCATGTGCTCTCTGAGGGCTGAGTATGCGTTCATTTATTTTGGGTGTCTGTGATAGTGAACATTTGGTTGGGATTGGGGCTGTTCCAAATCTACAGAGGAGAAGTGAATGCCTGAACTCCAAGTGGAAAGAGATGTGGAGAGAAGAAAGAGAGAAAAGAAGGGAAACTCAGAGACAAAGGGAAAGATGAATGGAACGACAAGAACCATGGCCACATTCTCAGTCTTCACATATGTAAGAGGGACTCTTCAACAAAGGCTAAATGCTCACAAAGAGTGAGTTCATTGACCCACATTAAGGTGGAACCCCATCCATTCTATAATCCAGGCTGGAGAGAAGACCATTGTCTCCATCAATTGTTCCTTTTGCACAAATACAAATTGTACTCTGTGTATTTCTCTTTGTACTGTACCCTGGTAAGACACTAAAAAAGGTCCAATAATGAAAACAACAGTGCAGCAACAACACCAACTGGCTGAAGGAGTTGCAGTGTGTCTGCCTATCTACACTTGCTGTGCAGAATAACCTCCAACCTGTACAGCAGGCACAGACAGGCAGATAGACATCAGCCCGCCTAATAAGCCAGCAGGACGGACCAAATGCTGCAGAACGGCACAAATGGTGTGCTTTCCTCCAAACCCAGTATGCTGTTGTTGGTCTTTATGATGTATTATCAATGATAATGGAAATAAAAAATAATAAAATTCATCCATGAGATCAAAGTTATTTATCTACCATGTGTATGAATTTAATTCCTGGTTCCATTCAGCTAAACATCAGATTGTAATCCATCGGTTTTAGTTGATTTGTTTTGTTTTTGTTAAATACATAAAGAGCAATTCCACAAAGAATACTTTTCACATTTTCTCAATCATTTTCACACTCTAAAGTAACTTCCTTAGCACCAGGACACATTCATAGCAAACATAGAACTGGGACATATTACCTGACCTCTTATTGTATCCTCATCCTGATCTGAGCATCAAGGTCATAAATATGAATTTAAAAACAAGACCACAAACTCTCTAACTCCTGAGGGAAATATCTGTCTCTTCAGCTGCTAAATACTCTGAGCTGAAAGACCATAAAATGCTTTGTAAAGCCGAGGTGGGACTGCAGAGTCAGGGTAAAATTCTCTATGGATTTGTTATTACGAGCAACCCCTTTCACTTTAAGAGTGGTTTGATCCATTGGCATTATAAAAAATATTGTTGCTCTGCTCACCTCGTCATCCTTAAACCAGGAGAAGCTCTCGGCAGTCAGCACAAACCAGTACTCCTTGGCTCCTCCCTTCATGATGCTGATGTTGTTGATGGTCAGCCAGCCTTTGCGAATGACCTGAGCGGAGGGTACGGTCAGAAAAGTCAGAAATTGCTGTAATGTAAAATTAACAATTAAAAAAAAGTAAATTAAAGAAAAGAAAAACTCAAAAACTCAAGAAAAAAAAAGGAGGATGACAGGAGCTCTTCATCTGTAAAAATCAACTCACTCGCCTCTAAAACAATAACTTCATTCAACACATCCTGGCTAAAGCTAGCCAAAATGAATTTGTGCAGGTAATCGATGCATGAATTGCGATGAAATGTGCGTGGAGGTCAGGTTAGGTGTGTGATCGTGTCGTTGTGACTCACTCGGAGCCGAGCATGTGACTGTGTGTCAGTGCAGTCTCATTCAAGGAACCGTGTTGACAATGCTTCAAGCAGAGGCCAGTGTTAGCTTGTTAAGTGACCATTGTGTAAGTGCTTCAAGCACACAATAAAGCATGTGTCTGTCAAACTGTGTTAGGTGTATTAAACCCTCCAAGCCTACAGAAGCAGGCCTGTGGGCACAGTGCCAAGTGATTATTAGTTTAGATTATTGTCAGTCTTGCACCGCCTAAGACTCACTAAGGAGGTTACCCAAATCATTACAAAGCCTTTCTGTCACAGGCAAACATTAGAGGGCTGTTTAGTGCCTCGATCTCACAGAAATCATTCTCACACTTTTAGTCTTAGAAATAATATATTAACTGCCAAAACCAAGGAGATTTTTAGTTTCTATTTTTCTAGTTGGCAACCCCTTGTAGTCTTCGGGCGCTGGTGGGTGGAGGAGGTGTTAGAGAGTTAACGGCTAGAGAGTAAACTCTTACAATCAGGCCTGATGCTGGAGGAGAGGAGGCCTGCAACAGAATGTGGGGGATTTAGAAACCTTGAGGCACTAAAAAATGGTAACTTTTATAGTGCAACTAGTATTTAAGGAAATGCCTCTGCCCAACAGTCGCTTACACAACCAATTTGGAATTCTTGAACCCGTCAAGAGCGGAAAACCCCCCAAAAAAGACAGGTTCTAAAAGCAGTGGTGCTGGAGAGCACCACCCAATGGGCAGAAGTGTTATTGTAGGCACAAATGAAAATGCAAACCATAACCCACAATGAGTGATACTCACCAACACAAACCCATAAGAGGGCAGCTGAGATTCTCACTAAGGGATGGGGATGAAATGCAAAGTGGCACCTTGATGACACAGGAAGGGTTCAAACAAAGGGAAACGTCTCAACAACAACAACACCAGTGATGATGGTGGCATAAAGTAATAGAACCCAATGGGATTCTTTTAATGAGATAAAATCATAAAACCAAATAAGCAAAACAAACCACTGTACACAACTGGTGCCCCACTAAACATAATACACCATGCATGACTAAAATATAAAATAATAATAACAAAATCAAAGAGAACATAAGGCTAAAATGTATAAAACATAAAATGTGTGAACAAAGGATTTACTCAAATGAAAGAGTATCTTGGATCAGATTTCTTTGATCTTTCTCTGCAGTAGCCATCCTGCTGCTGTGTGGGTGTGCAGTACTCCCTTGACCTCGTGTGCTCTGCTGTTTGTGTGACATACAAGACATGACAAATGCTCACCTGATTTACGGCTGAACTCTGGCTCTTATTAGTCTGACTGCTCCGCTGCTGTGCACTGCGGTGGAGAAACAACAAAACAGAGACGGCAGGAGAGACAGGGTGAATGTAGAGGAGAGAGAATGAGGGAAAATAATTCCCCGGGTGGCGAAATGAAATCATCTAAACATTTGTTCATAATGATCTGTCATGGTGGAGCCAAGCTAATAGATGGAGTCTTTACTTAGCAAAGCCAATGAAGTCTTCGTGGTTAGTGTTGATGTATGAGAGCTGGATGTCTATCAACAGCAGAACCTGCAACAACACAAAACATTTAACATGAAGCAGTCATTCTTGACGGAAAATAGTAGTTTGACATTGTGGGAAAGACTCTTATTTGCTGAGAGTTAGATAAGAAAATTAAAACCACTCTCATGTCTGTGCGCTAAAATATGTAGCTGTAGCCAGTAGCTAGTTAGCTTAGCATAAAGACTGGGAGCAGGGGAAAACAGCTAGCTTGTCTCTGTCTGGCACATAAAACCACAATGTGTTGTTTTTACAACTAGCTTTGTTGAACAGATATAAAATGTTAATTAGTGAGCTTTAGAGATGCTGGTATGTGGAGTTTGTTATTTTCAAACAGAACCAGGCTAGCTGTTTCTGTTTCTGTTTCCAGTTTTTGTGCTAAGCTAAGCTAACCAGCTACAGGTGGAAGCTTTATATTTACTGTACAGACATGACAGTGGCATTGATCTTCTTCAAAACATCCCAAAACTATTTCTTTAAATGTATTATGGTATACAGAATGTGTATTAACAGTAATCTTTTTGGTTAATTGGTAACTTGTTTATAATTCTATCACAATACAATGACAGATACGGGTATAAAACTGGCTACTGAGATACGTGTGCATACCTGCCACAGACCTTCCCTCATAAACGAATGTGTAGAGCCATAATTGCAAACTAACGTTTGCTAATGTTTGAGTGTTACCTGGTCCTTGGCCCGACCCTCTCTGTCTCGGATATGTGTAGTCACAATTCTCTCAGTTTCCTCGCGCAGCATGGGGAAGCAATCCAGCTGAAAACACATGTTACAGATTATCACTCACTCCACGCAATGAGGAATGTGGAATAACGAATAATTAAAAAAAGAACTCAGAAACAACAGTGAGCTTATTTTTCATTTTCCTTCTTTCATTATTCCATCTTTCCTTCCTGTTAACCTCCAGATTTCAAAATCCCCCATAAACCACATGAGCTACCTTGTCGGAGCACTGGCGCACAGTGTTGATCAGTTCCTGGATGACCATGTCCACACACTTGACGCAGGGTCCCTTCAGCTTTATGACCTGCTTCTTCACAATTGCCTCAAACGCCATGTCTGGGGTGAAAAGTCCAGTCCTGACACCCACCAAGAAGAAGAGGAAAAAAAGGTATAATTGTGATGAAGCATATATTCTGTGGTAGTCTGTGGTTGCAGTAATAAAGGGGTGAGTGCAAAAACTTTTGTTGATGTGTTAAAAAACAGTCATGATAGATATTAGACCAGCGATTGTCGTTGAAGGGACTTCAGGCTAAAATGTGGTGTTACTTTAAATGTCAGATTTCTCGCTTGGGTGGCAATTCTTTTGGCTGTGGTGGCTAACCGCCGCTGAACCAATATAGAAACACATAGAGAGGCTGGACAGAACATAAAAATGACGATAGGCTCCTCCCTTGTTTACAAATTTCCATCCAAACCATGTCATTTTAGTTTTTTAAAAACTGATGAGGCTGTGGTGCAACGCAGGGCGTATAGAAAATGAGAAATGTTGTTTTAGTAGGGTATATTCATTTCTACCTGATACCGTGGATGTTTTTGATGGCATAACTGATCTCACGACGCATCTCCTTCTCATCACACTCCATCTGAAGGGAACAGAGAGGAGTTTAGACAGCAGATACAGAGAACAGAGTTATTTAACTGTAAAAAAGAAGAATTATAAGAAGAAAAAAGAGAGAGAAATTTGTACTATGAGTTTGAAAATGTGTTAATAATAATGAAGATATTTAGGGCTCATTCACTAAAAAAATCACAAGAGAGGACATTATAAGGTGTGTATAGAGAGGAAATAGAAATGCAAAATGTGTAATTTAGTTTTATATTCAGCCTTCAAGACTAAATTGTGTTGAAATGAGATAAAAAAGAAGTCATTAGTTCAGCTGCACTTTCTTTTGCTTCAGGAATTTTATAGAGCTGAGTGTCATAGTCTTCATAGAGGACAGGACAGGCAGATGACTGCAGGTGCCATAGCTATGTATCTTTGAGTACAATGACGTCATAAACTGGGAAGTTGGGAGTTTTAGCAACCTGGGAAGAGTGTAAATTTTACATATAAAAAATGATACACGATGGGATTCCAGTTAGCTCAATATATTTAAGCCAACAAATCTTCAAATTTGAAAAAAAAGATATATTTATTTGAAAGAGGTCAAATAATTGTACCCAAGTAGATTATTTCATTTGTTTTTGTTTTTTTGCAGTGTGCGATCTTCCTCTATGTGCAACATGTCACCTTGACTAGCTCAAAGGGGAAACGCTCATGGAAGATGCGGTTGATTTTTGCTCCACCAGACAGCTCCACTGTGTCCACCTGATCCCCTGAGCCCTCAATCCTTTTCTCAAAGTCCACAGAGAACTGCTGCACCATCCTGAAAACACAACAATGGAAAAAAAAAAAAGCACAATAAATAAAAGACCAGCAGTGACTTCTTCTAACATCTAAAATAAGAGCGGATAAGCAATGGGGGGCCATGAGAGAAAGTAATCTCTGCCTGAGGTCAAACCTTTTGTAGGAAACTTAGCTTTTATGAACAAAGTCTCAAGTAAATGCTGCTGTTGTGAGAAAATGGGGGCACTGACTGCAACAGCTGCTTGGTTTTGCGGGACGGGTCATCAGGTCGGTATCCCCGGTATTCCTCGGCCTCCTTGTCCAGATCCAACAGCTGGGACTGCAGCTTGCTGCGGAAAGCTGGCAGGGTGTCCCGGATGTGGTTGGTCAATTGCTGTGGAGACACAAAGCCAGCAAAATGAAACAAATTATAATCACATGGGAGTCAATAAGTAGATTATGTTATTTGCATTTTGGCTGTATACAGTGATTTACCAATAAAGACTGTCTATTTCACTGTAACCGTAGATAATGTATAACACAGCAGAGAAAATATGGAGTGCCTGTCTGAGAGAAATGATGAATTATTAGGAGCTGAACTAGAAAGAGTGAGTGCATTTTCCACGTACTGACACCCACACTGATGTGCCATACAATGGAAGAGGGAGAAAGAAAAAAACACGGCCGCCGTCTTATTAATTATGTAAAGTGCATGTGGGAAAGCACCGGGAGTAAATCTATGATCACCTCGTTGAGCACTCTCTGCAGTCGTGGGGTGCCCATTTTCTCAGCCATGTGCCTGTATGATGAGTGGGACAAGAAGAACTTCCTCTCAGCCTCCAGTGCTGCCTTGATATCTTTCTTCCCATCGATGTCCTTTTGACTGCGATTCACCACTCCAATATAACCTGGGAATCAATAAACATGGACACAAATTGAGAGAAATAATGAATGTTAATCCCGGGAGATAGAGGCAAGCGATACCACAAGCGAGACAAACAGAAAGACAAGCGGTGAAGTGAAAGGAGGCAGAACAAGAACAGAGTTATTGGACAATGTGATAAAGAGCACAGTGAGAGACTTTGAGAGTGTTACAAGAGAAAAAATCAAGTACAAGAGCCAAAGTGATTCTGGCTTGCATAGCTCACTCTACTGTCACACACCTCTTCGCAGCGGCAGCAACTTGTTCTCCAATATTTCTCGGGCATCTGTGCCCTCGTCCATCAAATCCAGTTTGGTGATTACTCCAATAGTCCTCAGACCTAGAAAAGGGGTTAAAAAGAGGGAGGAAGATTGTAATGGGAATTTAGAAACGCTTGTTGGAGGTTAAAGGAACTATTTTCATAATCGTTTAATGGCTTGGGCCACTTTTCTGAGTAAAAATGCAAACATTTGCTCGTAGCATCTTCTTAAATAGGAGCTTTTGTTCTCTTTTATATCATTGTAAATTGAATATATTTGCGTTTTGGATTGTTGTTGAGCACTTTAAAGACCTTTGCCCAGTTCCAATGCAGCTTTACATCTATCTTTTCCTTTCCTTTATTCCTTCCCTCTTGCGTACTTCTTTATTTACTCCCATTTAATTCTGCTTCCGCCACGTCATCCTTTCCAAGCATCTTTGGCTGTTACCATCCCATCTCTCTGTTCCCTTCTATATTCTTCCATCTCACTCTTCTTGCCTGATATTATTCATCCCTCCCACAAGGGTACTTTGTCCAAGACCTCCTGTTCGTAGCTAATTCATCCTCCTCTCCTGTGTCCTCCTGTCTGAAGGTCAAACTTCTTGAGCAGTAAATTGATTCCTTTCTTACCCTTCCTCATTATCCCACTTACACTGTTTGTTTTTCCTTAGCGTCACCCTCTTCTGTGTTTTTTAATTTCACCCATCTCTTTCTGATTTTCATTTTCCTCTCTCCTCATTTATCTTTTGATGCTCTCCTTATTCTTCTTTTCCCCCTTCTCTCAGACCCTCCTTTCTAATATTAATGTGACACTTGATCGACCCCTGTAGGGAAGAGAACCAGGTCAGAGACTAAGCACCATCCCTGCAGCTGATGGAGATTAGATGTCTTGTTAAGGTCAGTTTCACGAACCACAAGGCCTCCTTTTACGTGCTTCATTCACTTCCATTCAACATCCTACATCTGTCCTAAGCCTCCTTCACTCCCAATAACCTTTCCATGCCCTCGTGCCCTCGTCTTACCCTGTGGATCGACATCCTTCGCCAGTTTGAGAGCATCAGAGTTGGCCAGGTCAGAGTTGGCCGGAGTGACAGCCAGGATCAAGCAGCTCTCTCTGGTGATGAACTGCATGATCATCTCCCGGATCTGCTGCTCGATGTCGACGGGCTGATCTCCAACCGGCACCTTAGTGATCCCCGGCAGGTCGATGAGAGTCAGGTTGAGCACTGCACGGACACAGAAATGCAATATAAATAGAGCCGGCCATAACCTGTGAGACATTTCTGTAGCCTGTTGTTAGTCAATCTTCAGAAGTTACTTAGTTATTCCCTTGGACTTTTTACTTTGCCCCCTACAGCAGGAAACATTTTAATTAAATTAGAACTATTGGCCCTATTTTTCAGCTGTAGTAAAACATCAAAAAAAATAAAAAATAAAGATAAGATAAGATAAGATAAAATAAAAAATTCTAAACAATTCACATAATCAGTTTTATTCTGAATGGAGCTCATTTCAAATTCACTTCAATTCAAGGCTCTGGTTATAAAGTACAGTATTCACTTTTACAATGCAAACAATCTAAGGACATCAGTAGCATCAGCATAGCATCAGCATAACATCAGTATAGCATCAGCATAGCATCAGTATAGCATCAGCATAGCATCAGTATAGCGCTGGATATTAAAATACCATATTTAGCCATATTAACTCAGAAGCTTAAAGGAATATGTTAAGCTGCCTCCCTTAAACTCCTCAATGACATAGAAATGAATTCATGTACTGTATAATTATTTTGCTAGAAAAACCACATTCTAGTGTTTCTAGTGACCCAGTTTTTTAAAAACATTTTCTGCCAGCTAATAATACAAAAAAAAGCGAAAGTATGATGACTCACAGCTTGTCACAATATCCCTTAATTCAAAAGTGTTATTGTGTGCTGTTACTTGACAGTGAAAGGAAGGGAGATGAGCTTCGCACCGTGAGGAGAGTAAACACGCAGGTTGATGGGGACGGGAGATATGCCTCTGTTGGCCCCTGTGACACGGTCCGTCTCGGCCTCGATCTCTGTGCGAACCTCATCGAAGTCTGTGAACTTCTTCCCTTTGCAATGGAGGAATTCAGCCCATTCTGAGAGAATGAAAATGAAGATATAAAACTGGGATTAGTGGTGGCTGTGCTGCATGTGTCTGAGAGAAAAAGAATGCCAGTGTGAGAGGGGAAAAAATGCCAGGAAAAAAACAGTGCCATTTAAAAATGGGCAGAGGGTTAGGCTGCATATGTGTGTATGTGCGCATGCTAGCATGTGTGGGTGTGTAAATGTGTGTACGCCCACCTGCAGTGGCGCTGATAAGCTGCAGAACCAGGGGCCTGCGGGTGACAATACCAGATCCACGGGGCAGAAAGTCCCTGAGGAAAGACCAATCAAAAGTCATTATATCAAACCACAGTTTATATAGACATTTATCAAAGACTATACGGATAGCTATTGGTGGTATACTGATAATTTCATCTTGAGGCTTTTTTCACTCTGAACTCTTGGAGGGAAAATATATTATAATTACACCCTATATGCAAGTTACTGTAGACCTTTCAGTGTCACTCATCCGGTATGTTATACGCCAGTTCAACGTACTCTGAGTGGAATAGGGGCCATTTTAGAACACAGTAACTCCTGCAGCTTTCAGCTGCTGCTGCTGCAACAACCAAGTTCCCCAACAGTACAGAACAATGTGACCTGCTAAACATCAGGTCAAAATGAAGAGCTGCATTGCTGACAAGAAGCGCTCTCATTTAAAAACGATGACTTCACCATTTCCTGAGGGGTCCCACACCAACTCGTTTCTGTGTGTGTGTGCGTGTGTGTGTGAATGTGTGTGCACATGCACGCGAGAGCATGCCACACAACTGACAGCCATCACGGCCGCCTCCTATGCTAGAGGTCTGCTCCAAGAAAACCTTATTAACACATATCGACCCTCGGAGCTCTCTCTATGGTGGGATGAGTTAAAAAAAGACCATGCAGCCCACTGCTTGTCCATTCAGCACGGTGCAGAGACAGTTCTGGACAGATGGACTCATTACTCAGCATCACGACTCTCAATGAGGGCTGGAACAGGAAAAATCTATTCATCCATCTGGAACTGCAAACATGCATGTTACAACTGCTCAAGAAAGGAACTACTCGGTCGCACTGAAGACAATCTAGCTAATGTTGCACTTCCACGAAATTGGGGAACTTGTGAGCCCCAGATTGAAAAAAATCCTGGTAAATATTGAAGCATCAGAGGCTGAGACATTCATGATAAAGCTCCAAAAACACTGGATCCTACATTTACTGTACTGCAACTCAATAGCATATTTCATGAGAAATGCCCTGCTCTCATCTTTCAAAATCAATACCCACAGTTTATAAACACATTTTTTTACTGTTAAATATGTTTAGTCTACAGCCTAAATCAGATGAAATCGTCAGAGTTACCTACTCAGATATTGCAAAACTTCCTCCAGAATCACAGAGGACATTAAACAGCAGATTTCACAGGTTGGGTACAGTGTTGTCCATGACGAGCAAACTGACCTTTATGTGTAAGATCGGAGTGACCCTTTAATTTTTATATATATTTTATCAACTGGCACAAACACTGCACAGCAAAAAAAATAAATGCTACAATAAATGAGTCAATTTAGAGAGGTAGTTTTTCAGCAAATTCTGATATTAAACTAGCAATCAATTAAAATGTGCAATGCATGGGCTATAAGACAGAATGGTGCGGTATTGTCGAGCGGCAAAAAAGGTTCTTGCAGCAGACATAAGCGCATCATATTCTACCAATGGGCAGTTGTTGTGGGAAGTGGCTGTGTTTCTGATCTATCTTTAAACTAAAATAAACACTTGAATTTCTGTTATCAACAGAATCACACTCCTTGTTGATGAATGCTTTATCATTATCTTGAAAAAAAAAACATCAAATTAAATGCATCCACTCATAATTTATTTGTTGTGGGTGCCCAAAATCCAGGGCAAGATGATGAATATGCATGTGTGTTTTCGGGAGTGGGAGCAGGATGGTGTTTTAAAATGGTTTCATGCAGTGAGATGTCTCTGCACAATCTGCATTTCGTATCGGTCAAAGAACATGACAGTATTATTTTTTAAGGAGACAAACGGCATTTGAATGCCCTCCAAACGAGGAAGAGGTGGATATTTCTAGGACCTTGGAAGAGCCTGACTGCAGTTGGTACTGATTGGACTGAAATCCCTAAGGTGCTGCTGTAACCCAAATACTGCTTCCCTCCTCTGTCAGTAGCCACAGGACAGTGTTGACAGTTTGTGTGTATAAGAAAAAAAACAATACTACACGTAACATAATTAAAAGACATCATCAGAAGGTGCAGCAGCAGTGACTTAAAGCTGGGGAGAAATGGTTTGAACTCTGCACAGAGATTGGCTCCATAGGCCTCTTATGTCATCCTCAAGGTTAACCGGAGAAGGGATTATCCTATTTATGGTGGTCAATTTTACCTGCCTACAAAGTTCTCCAGCACGGAGCTCTTCCCTGCACTCTGACCGCCGACCACTGCGATCTGCGGCAGGTCCAGGTTGCAGGCCTGGCCGATGAAGCTGAAGGCATCCTGCAGCTTGTTGACCAGAGGGATCAAATCCTCCATGCCACGGTTTCCCATGGTGCCTTTAGACGGGTGGACTCGGGATCAGCGAATGAGAATGGAGAGAGAGAGAGAGGAGGGGAGGGGGGGGATGTGGCGCTGCTATATTAGTCCGGGATACCGCGGTGCTTGTTGATGGAGGCTAGTGAAGTCATCTAGCCGCACATTGCCCCGAGCCAAGCGAGGGTCGGTCCGACTGTGGAAGCAGAGGAGAGAGAGAGAGAGAGAGAGAGAGAGAGAGAGAGAGAGACACCAAGAGAGAGAGCGAGAGAGAGAGAGAGATGTGCAGAGAAAGGAGATATGAACAGACAGGAACAGACAATTGCGCAGTTGCTCAACACAACCACCATAACCTCTCTCTCTCTTTCTCTCTCTCTCTCTCTCTCTCTCTCTCTCTCTCTCCCCCTTGCACACATACAAACACACACATACACAGCGAGCGGCACGAAGCATATACTTTGAAGGGCATTTGATGAGTGGAGCTTTATAGGCTCCGTATACAGTGTCATTGAACAAACTCGTGCCCTCCAGAATCCACAAATCGCACGCGAACAGCGCGTGATAAAGGCAAAAACAACGCATCGTTCGCAGGGTGCAGATAGACGTTGACACACAATATACAATAGTGTCGTCTGAAAATATATCATAGTAACAATCACACATTTTAGTGCGCTGTTGTGAGCCTACCCCGCCTCAGGATTCACTCGGTGTTTTCGGTGTCCTGTGGTCCCGGTCGCTGTCCAGTGCTGAAACGACGCGCAGCTCGGGCAGCAACGACAAGTGACGAGACCCTGGACGATTATACAAGCGCCACCTGCTATGGCAGTGCATCAGCTTGATCGCAAATTCCTGTGCATTAATTGTGCTCGCCTGTGGGCTTGGTTCCGGTCGGCTGAATGTCAGAGCGGTCTCGTCCCGAACACAAATTCGCCTTTGACAGATTAATCATTTTTCCCCCTCTCTCTCTCTCTCCTCTGTTCCGCGGTGTAATTGCGAAGCTGCGCCTTCACTCTTACACAATATCGACGCGGTGGAGGACCAATGAAAAGCGCGGGATTGGAGACGGAGGCAGAGCAACGCGGCGCCCCATTGGCTGGACAGGTACAGGTTAGGCTTACCTGAGCCCGCCTCCTGTTTACATCCGTGCCATTTCTGCCGCTGTGAGTCATGCGGCACGGCTGCGCATCGCTGCAACAGAGGAGGTGGATGCGCTCCTTCAGATCCCTGCAGTAGGTGCAGAAACCAGCCGTCGTAAATCCCATATACATTGCATACATGGTACGCGGGCCTACAGGCCATGACAGTCATTTTTTTATGTCACCTTGCTTTGTGCACTATAATGTGATGAGCTGCATCCTTTATGACTTTGACCATATCGGCCGACGTTTGAAAACATGAAGTCCAGAAGGGTTCGTTTCAAGTGCGATGCTTGGTCTCGGATTGTCCCTGCCGACCGAGGCTGGTGGAGGCGGTCATGCGGAAAGGACACTGCCAATCTGCCTTAACCTCACACAGGACAACCTCTGTGCTAGACGACAAGTGTCTCTCTTCCACTGGATGTGAACATCGCCTATCATTAGATGAGCTATAGAGGAGAGATCTAATTAGCTCATCGAGCCCCTCCGCAAAGAGGTTGAAAAGGGGTCTGATGCCCTTCCATCTGCCTGTGACAGTCAAATCTGATCGATTAAGCCATCATTTGCCCTTTTCATTACGGTCATGCTTTGGAGATGGATCTAGTCGGCACTTCATATAGTGAGCTAACACTAGATGGCGTTAACAGTACAACCAATACAGCTCTGTGTGCTTGGGCCCTATTTGGGCCCAGTTGATATCTGCCATTATTTATTCAAACATTCATACAAAACGATTCGGTAATATAATAGAGGGAGACACATTTTCAAATTCTATACAATCACAATCAAGGGAGAAAACTCAAGTAGGCCTGATCTTAATATTTCTGTAGTTTTCAGAAAACAGGGGAGAGTAACCAAATCTGTAGTTTAGGATATTATGAAGAACTGTCTGACTAGACAACTAGTACCCTGTGACGTTACCTGACAGAGACAGCATCTGTGAGCAGAGGTATCCAGTGACATCAACATCCATCCAACCCCTCCTCTCTCCCTCTCTCTTTCTCTCAACCCTCCCTTTCATGTCCTGCCAAAGACCCTGCTTCCTGAGGTGTCTGCAGTCGCCAGGTCAGTATTGGCTTAAAAATATAGGTGGGCCTGTTTTTAGATCAGGACCCGGCAGCCTCTTCAACGGTGACGTGTCCACCTACACAGCAGGGACACTGTTAAACTGAGGCCCTGGATGATTTAGGGTCCTCAGAGCTGGGCAAGGTCCCCAGGTCATTCCAGCAATTATACTTATTTATTGTGAGCGGGATGTTTCAGCTGGACTAAATATTCCAGAGGGGATGTGCCACTTACACATCTGACTAAAATGATCTGAACTTCAAGCAATAGTTACATTTAATAAAGAAGATTTATTTTTTCAATTTTCTTGTAATAGTTTATAGTTTTGTAGCTGAAAGCAGTACAGATAATACAACATTGAATGGTAGAATGGCATGGCATTTTATGTTATACTGCAACACATTGTCAATAGAAGGCATTGCATATAATGTAGTGCATTTTAGCATTGTACTAATATAGTATAAAGCAATGTGGTAATATTGTATAGTATTAACACCACAACACAGCAGTGGTGGAGGAAGTATTCATATCTTTGACTAAAGTAAAAGTAGCAAAACGAGAATGCAACTCCTGTATTAAGAATATTACATGCTGTAAAAATACAAAGGTATTATCAGTACCAAAATAAAATGATCATTATGCAGGAAAACGACCCCTTTCAATGTTATATTTTATAATATTTGAATATTATCACTGACGCCTTAGCTGCAAATTTAATGTAGAAGGTGCTCATCTTGTTGAGTTAAAACTAATTTGAAGTAATTCCAATTGTTAGGTATGTTACATCTATGGAAACCAATGCATCATAATTTGCAAGCTCATCATGTATTGTGTTACTTTGCAGCACTATGATCATCACTACAGTACGGTACTGTTCAAGTATAACACGTCTTAACTCATGCATCTATAACGTGGACACAAATGCACCAATTATTTATCATATTTAGTACTTAATAGTCTAATGTTGGTTTAAAAACATAAACATGACTAACAAATTAGTGATTTGAAAAAATGAGCGTTTGCTTTTGTGAATTTTTGTCAGAGTTAAAGTCCTTTCCATGAGGTGTTTAAAGGATTCTGTCCACCGTGGCCCATGTACAGTAAAGTATTCTGTAGGTTTCATCAGGAGGATGGATGAAGGTTCAACATGAACATCCACTTAATTAAATACAAGGCATTGTAAGGGTTTGCGTGTGTTTTGAGACAGATGGTAGAGTGCGGGTGGAAAACAATAATTGGGGTCAGGTCAAAGAGAGTCCAGGGAGAGTACTAGTTATCAACATGTTGGTCTGCATGCGCCACTCCATCACTGCCCTGAATCATCCATTACCCATGGTTCATTGCAGCACTGCGTTTGGACAGGATGGTGCTGTCTGAGCCCACTAAATGACCTTGCTGTGTCCAGTCTGAGCGGTACCTCAACATGAGCTGCTGTTGCAAACAAGGTCACCGTTTGTTTTTCAGCAGAGCCCAACAAGAAGTCACAGACAGTCCTGCAGACACAGCTGTCAAATTTGATACAGCCTTAGATTTAAATCTGCTTACATGGAAGGCATTCACTTGACCTTGCCCTTTCTTCCTTTCTCAAATGAGATTACAAGGCAACTGAGATAAGCTCAGGAGAAATATGTGAGCTCCTGTCATTTAAAGATGAAAACAGACCAAGGTTGCAAACTATTCATGGCTTAACAGTTTGAGGAAAATGAACAGACTCACTTTTTTTCTTTCTTAATTTTATTCTTTGCAGCTAGTTTGGCGGCAGAGTTGCTAAATCTTAGCCTGACTTGCACCACAGTGGAAAGGCCCTGTTGTTAAACTGTCATCAGTGGGATGAAAACAGTGGCCCCTATTACGTAACCCACATCTTCAAACAGTCCAGTCACATGTGCAAAACACACACACACACACACACCCTGATGGAATTACATTTTGTGCTGTTGTTAGGAAAAGAGGAATTAACTGAAACTGTCGAATGTGCGTATTAGAACCAGAGGAATCCCGTAAACCCATACTTATAAAAGCAGCATGCCTGAAGGGTGATGCTCTGACAAATATTTTTCATGATTTTTACACCGTATACTTAGCTGACGCAATGTCAGAAAAGACAGACACGAAAATTGGCTGTGGACAATTTACAAGGCAATACTTAGAGGGTAAACATTAGCTGTCTCAGCCAAACATCAAATATGTTTGTCATATTTAGAATTTTGAAACATCTGACTGTATGTAAGAGGTCATTATTTAGACTTTGATTTTTACTGTTGACATCTGATGACATTACGCTGCTAAGTCCCTGTACCAGCCTACTTGTTATGGTGTTTTTAGTCATGCTGGTGGCGTGGCTATGGGAATGGGAACGTTGTTTTGTCAAGACTGAAATGTCTCAACGTCTATTGAATGACTTGGATTCTGACTTTAGTGATCCCATGACGTTTCTCCTACCTAGCACCATCAAGATTTTACTGAGTCAAGTACTTTGATTTACGACCTAATACCTGCAAAACTAATGACATTCCCATCAGCCTCAGCTGTGTTTCGTGTCAAGTGCTCATTATTAATCAAAAATCCAATGTAAAAAATCCCATTGGCTCTATGTTGAGGGAACCAGTGCAATGCTAACTTCCTGGGTTGGCCTACGAAAAATTGTTTCATCCCTGCAGTTCTGTATTTGTCTGCCCAGCTGTGGTGGCCATCACTGCTTCTACCACCACATTTTGCTGTTAATATACTTTGACAATCCCGTGAAATGCATCCTGGAAAACAGTGCATCTGCAGAGGTGATCTACTGCAGCTCTTGTAGATGTAACTAAAAATCCCACCAATAAAATTCTCCAAACCTATATTGACTTTCTGCCTGTCCAATCAAATCCAACTGAACTCCAATAGACCATCAGTTCATGCGTAGGACTAAGGACAAAGGAAACTCTGGTGCCATGTCTGCGTCAGGAATGAGAACCTCTGGTGGCAACACCTGTATTGAGCGGGCGAAGACCAAACAACAGCTTCTGTGCTGAGGTTTCGTGTGTGTGGGCGTGTAATCCTCTGTGATTATACCCTCAGTCACAGCAGACAGCACGCCATCTTTAATGCTTTTCCCACTGCCCCCCCCCCCCCCCCGTGGGCCCACTCAGTTAACACTATGCAACTATTATCCCTTGTTTTCATTCTGCTCCATCAATTGCTCACTATGAATCACAGTGACCCACATGCGCTTCGGCAGCTCACATCACAACACCGGGAAAAAAGACTGTCTCACTTTCTTCCACATTGTGTCTCATGAAGTTCAGTTCGGTTCAGTCTCTGTGGTTCTAGTCTAAAGCATGTTGTAAAAATGTCACCTAAACGATGAGGTAGGAGGTTGTGTTCAAGAGTGTTGAACCTCTCGATACTTCAAGTCTAAATGGCATTGCAAACCAACAAGCCAGACTGGCACCTACAGTATGCAAAGGCATGTTATGCAACACCTCACACCTGTAAATGCACGTCTGGCGAGCCAACGATTGTTCTGTGAGGGTGTTATTCAAATTATTCATGGGTCAATGGATACTTATGATGTCGATGTCTTAATGAGTCAATGTGAGAGAGCTGGCACGCCGTCTAAATAGCCACCAAGCCCACCTTCCTGCTTTATAAAATCTCTTCTGCCTGACTTCCTCTAAATCACTGATCAGATTGTAGTGGCTGCTGCGCAAACAAACTCAGCAATCGCACTGTTTCTCTCATTAGTTTTATTTTTCTTCGACGATCGCAATGCCCCCCCCCCCTCCTCTCTGCTTCCTGTTGCATAATATTATGGAATTCATATTCAAACAAACGCAGCAGTAAAATGTCCCTGTAGAATTAAACTGTGGAAATCCTAGACTGCCAAGAATTCTGGGATTGTACTTTAAAAAGGGCTTTTGAAATAACTGCCAAAATAACTATGATGTCAACTATTTTTCGCTCATTTTGCCGTCTGATTATATTACTCATATTTGGTTTATGATCATTTTTATTTGCATTCTTTTTCTGAGGTACTGTATGCATGCTACAGTATAGCTTTGGCCTGTGAGAACTAAGTAAGGTAACCTTTCTGTAGTCTTTAAGACAGTGGTTCTCAACCTGGGGGTCAGGACACCCGAAGGGGTCCCAAGATAATTCTGAAGAGTCACAATCAAGATGAGAGATAAGAAAATTAATGTTTCTGTTACATAGAATTACTGCAGGTTTAGTTTTTTCTTACTTTTAACATCTATACTGTTATATGTTCTGTAATTGAATAGCTACACGGAGGCCCAGTATCTCTGAAAACTAAGAAAAGCATTGTATCCAAAGACAGCACTATAACACACTGCACGCACCGTCATCATTAGTGTATCCTTAGCTCAAGCTGTGCATGTTGAGCACTTCAGCAGACAAGCATCGAGTCTCGGCTCGCTTAGCTGGCTAGCATGAAGAGAGAATCCTTGTGGAAAAGGTTGTTTGTTAGGATCCCCTGTTCTCACTTACACGTCGTATGAGACATTATGTTACACAAGGAAAACACAACTTAGTGGTAAAAACATTGTGGAATACTGGTGAGTTTCCACAGGCTGTAAAACGTACAGGTTAACTAGGCAGCAGTTTGATCTTGTGGAACCAAACACAGATGTGCGCTGCAAGCTGCTTCTCAGGGTAAACTGGTCCATTGCTGTTGGTATTTATATCAAATATTTTGCCACAGAGCGCAGCAACAGCATGTTGATGAAGGAAAAAGACAGTGGACAGAAGAAGTGCTATCAGTTCATAACTTTACCCACTCAGAGACCAAAATAATTTGCACACTTACAATGGCTACTCTTGAATTGGAGTCCAGTGGGGACGTTTGTGCTTTTTGCCCTCTCTGGTCAGCACAGACTCAGACCAGGTCCCAGACCTATCACATGGAGACAGTTGGAACACCGGTTGCCCACATACCTCCTGTAAATACAGAAAAGAATGCCTGAGGGGACCATTTTCATTATACAAAGTTTTAGTTTCCACTATAATGTGTCCAGTCAAATGAAAATCCATGGCTTTCATGCTTAGCCTTTTAAGCCATGTTTTAAGCTTTGCAAGCAGCAGGGCTCTAGGGGGTTGGCAATGCCGGCCCATCTGTTCATCGGTCGGTCCACCACTTTGGTCGCGACTAAAATATCACAGAATCTGTTGGATTGCAATTTTATACAGACAAGCTCCGGACTCGTCTGTAGCACCACCACAAGGTTGACATTTATGTTTCTGAGTAAAATAAATACTGGATATATTTACATTGTGAGAACACTCAAATGACATAGCACAAAGTAAACATAGTGCACAAAATAGTAAAGATCCCCATGTGGAGATGTCGGCATGTGGGGCTTCCGTGGGTTTGGTGAAAAGAAAGAAAGAGTAACCACGCTGCATCTTCATTCCGAGCCAGACTGCCAGCCCGTCCTCTCGTGACAGACATCCAGCTGTGCAGAGGAGAGATGAGTACCAGTGTGCCCTCAGGTCCTCTGAAGGACCAGTCTGCTTTGCAGTTGAGCCTGGTTGGCGAGTGGTGGCTTCAGAGATTTCCAGATTCCTACTCTGCCTGGAGCCCAAATTTCACCCCGTACCCGGGCCATGAACTGAGTTTGCGGTTAATCCCATGGTGGTTTAATAGTAAAACCATCAGTTGCGGAGGAAGTAAACAGCTCTGCAGCTGACAGCTAGTAGACACATAAAGAGATGCTGTCCAGTCAAAACAACCTGCCGAGACACAATGAAAAAATTTTCTACAGGAAAAAACAAACATCAGATTGTTTATTTTTCTACTGATACTGTGTGATTTTCACATTGTCTCTTTCGGCTCACCTCACCTCGCTACCACCAATAAGAAGACACACATGGATCTTTACATATACACACTCCACACCCACCTGGCTATTTCCCTCCCTGCCACACTCCTCGTCCCCTCCCACTGTATAAATATCCTACTCACAGCATTGCTGGGATTCAGACACTGACCTGCACTGACCACGGATACTCAGGTGAGAAGAGACCAGCTAAAGAAAGAAAGGAAAAAGCAAGTGGAGACACTCTACTGAACAGAGGAGTTGCATCTCTACTAAAACCAGAAGATCATCAACTCAGTCTGATCCTCCAGAATGTGGCTCCCGGTGTTTCTCCTCTGTCTGTCCTGCTTAACTCTAGCCCATTCGAAGCCAGGCCCAAGACCGAGCCTCCCTCTGCCGCTCCAATGACCACGCCGGGCGCTGCCACTACACTTTCACCGTGGCCAGTCCAGAGGAGTCCAGCTGCTCCGGAAGCAGCATGAAACCAGAGATGGATGGAGTCTCGTCCCGACTCACCATGCTGGAGGCTTTAGTCAGCCGTCTGATAGCGGGAGTGGATGGAGGCTCCAGGACTCGGACTAACGGTGAAGAGGGTTTCCAGGAAGCCTACTCACAGGTGACAAGGGAAAGAAACCAGCTGCACCAGGACAAGAGGGGTCTGAACGGGCAGGTCCAGGAGCTGCAGAGGAGGCTGGCCGAGCTGAGTCAGGAGGCAGAGATCCTCAGGCAGAGACCCTGCCAGCAGACAAACACCTCAGGGGGGACTCAGCGTGAAAACAGACCTGCCAGTGGTATGTACATCAGTGGGTAAAGGGAGAACAAACATAAATGTGAATGTGAACTCTTTTACTTACAAGACTGGGGCATTTAACAAGTTTTCTTCTTTGAGGAGCTGATATAAAAACAAAGATATTTTTCGGCTCTTCTGCGTTGATGCTTTTTTGTTTTTCTGATAAATGTATTTGTGGTTGACTATGAAAAGTGTCCCGGGGCAGCAGTTCAGGTTGCAGTTATGTATGGGGATTGGGATTTACAACACAGACTCTTCTTGTATGGCTTTGTCACTCATGCATTTCTGTTTATGTGCATGTGATCATTTTCAGAGGAGCAATGGCAGGGTTATAGGGGGAACCTGCTGTGCTCAGAGGCAAGTGAATAAGATACTTAGTCTTTGATGTTGATGGTAAGGTGGGACTGACTGTGGTTTAACTGAAGATTACTACTAATATATATATAAATTATCATTTTTTTTTATTTTCTACTCAAGATTCCTTCCCAGCCTGTGTAACATTTTCCTGTCTCCTTTTTCCTTCACTTAGTCTCCCCAGACCCTGCATATAATTTTGGGAATGGTGCATACCAGGAGATGAAGGCTGAGGTTACAGAGGTTCCAGCATCTCGCCTCATTCCTGAGGGAAATCACAACTTCACAGGTAAATTTGGGGTTTTACCGATGCAAATATAGCTGTCCAAATTGGCCTGCAGTGGTAGAGTGTTGGTGCAAATCAATGTGATCGGAAGCATTGCGAATGTATAACAAATACCGTGAAGTTAGACTCTCTTCTTTTCTCCAGGCTGTGGAGAGCTGCAGTCAGTGGGAGATCCTGTGTTGCACAGGAAGGCTGACAGTATTACAGGGAAGTATGGAGTGTGGCTGCAGGATCCCGAGCCTCAGGGCCCTCTTTACACCAACAAGACTGTGTGGCGCATCGACACAGTTGGTAAGATGTCCGTCAGCTCTTTGCGTATGAAGACATGGATCAATTATCCCAAGGCTTCCCTATGAAGGTTCTGGTACTGCCGGAGCCTATGGAGAGCACAGGGGCCACCATGTACCGCGGCTCCCTTTACTACCAGCTCAAACGCAGCCGCACCCTGATCCGTTACGACCTGACCTCTGAGAGCCTGGCATCACGGCGGGAGCTGCCTCACGCGGGCTTCCATGGCCAGCACCCTTACTCCTGGGGCGGCTACACTGACATCGACCTGGCGGCGGACGAACAGGGCATGTGGGCTATCTACAGCACAAGTAAGGCAAAGGGTGCAATTGTGGTTTCCCAGCTGGATCCCAAGAGCCTGGATGTGAAGAGGAGCTGGGAGACCAACATCAGGAAGAACACAGTGGCCAATGCTTTCATGGTGTGTGGACGTCTGTACACGGTGGCCAGCTACACTGCGCCCAACACCACCATCAACTACGTGTTTGACACCGCCACCAGCGTGGGGCGGGCTCTTGCGCTGCCCTTCAAGAACAAGTACCGTTACAACAGCATGGTGGACTACAACCACGTCCAGAGGAAGCTGTACGCTTGGGACAACTTCCACATGGTCACCTATGACATCAGACTGGGCAGGGCCAGCCATGGCAGCAGCTAAAGAGGACACAGACGGAGAGAAACTGCTGTTAACAGGACTGAAGAGCAAGGGAATGAGATAAAACATATTATCATTTGCATTGTACTGGGGTTATTGCAAAGCGTGGTAGTCTATGTGTTTTGCATTATTAAAATCTATTTTTTCTATTACTATTGTAAATAAGATAATGAAACAGAAATGTAATCGTAAAGCAGATTAATGTAGCTGGAGCCCTTGATAATCTCAGTGGTTATTACAAACAGTAATCATGGTTTAAAATTGTGAAATATTTTAGCTTTTTATAAATGTTGACATATTTAAGTCTCGATAAAAAATAAAACAATTACACGCTTGCTTGTTTGTGTCATACTTTGCCATTTAATTGCAAAAATATTCATAGCCACACTACTCATTACCCGGAGAGGTTGGAAGGAGATATATGTACGTTTCTAAATCGTTACATTTCTACATAAAATCAGAGACAGTTGAGACTGTAGAACATCTTTAGTAAAAAAAACCTGAAGCAGCTACATCACTATGCACAAGCCCCCATGTTGTCCTTTGCAACCATATTCCTGGTATTCACTGCCCTCTGTGGACAACTGTTTGCATCTGCACCCTGCATAGCCTACACACCTACCAGCTCTAGTGAGTAAGAGTTTATTCTACTTCAATCATGCTCCTGCCTAAACTGGTTTCAAAGTTTAAAGGCAAAACCACACAAAATATTCACAAATTGGTTTAAAGTTTAGTTTGTAAATGACAATAGTAGATGGTGGTTGGCACTGTAAAAGGAGAAGGGATGTATTATAATGCCAGTTAGGAGATTTAGCAGCAGCTGATGGAAACTTGGCCGAGTGCGAGTTGAATCCCCCCCCCACCAGTGTTCACACAAACACTGAAACCCCACTGTGGATTGTTTCAGCTCAATACAAAGCCTCATAGCCGCCACACACTGAGACACAAGTCTCACTTTACAGGAAGCAGTGTGGTAGTGCAATTTTAAAATTGGTTTCAGTTTTCATCCTCAGTCACCAACGTATTCACTGTGTCAGAAAGATACAAAACAATATCTGTAAATGGTGCACAGTTGACTTTAATTAGCCTTTTTATTTTAAATAAAAAATGCTCCAATTAAATCCAGCTTCGGTTTCAGCATTGTAAACTAGATCAACTAGATTGCATGAGTCCAAAACAATGTCTAAGTTACACTGAGTCATTATTGGTTACTAAAAAAAACCTGAACAATCGACACACATTCGCTCACCCAGGGCCAGATTCAGCATGATCTCTTGCCCCGCCACACTCTCTCCCCGGAGCAGAGAGTACACCGGGCCGATGAGCCACGGGATGACGTGCCCAGAGAACTCCACCAAGGACCCTAAACTGCCCCACGGAGACTCCTCACAGGCGCATACTCCGAGCCGCTTGGACAGCCAAAGATCTATCGCCAACAAAAACCGGAGCGTTATGGTGAATATCGGCTGGCTCAGGCTGACGGGAAAGTCTTCAGGTTGCGCTCCAGAGGAAAAGTTAGAACAGCTTGAGCCCCGGCGGCGGACATGGCACTCAGATGATGCCCGATTTCCAAAAACAACTCCACGGCAACTATTCCGTCTGGATGTTGGTGAGGACATTTTCGGTTGATAGTGTCCTCAGCAATATATCCATCCTTCTTTATCGACCACCTGTGACCAATAAACACATTAATACTGCTGCACTCCGACGCAAAACATCCTGTAAATTCCGGATGTAGAGGTTAACACCAAAACTGGACTGCTCTGGTCACGTAGCTACATTATCATTCCTATTAACATGTAATTAGCATGGAGTTTTAAATGTATGTTTTTTCCTTAAATGTCGATTTTACGAGAGCATATATTTTAAAACATATTTTCGTGGATAAGTGTTTCAGTGCAGCACTTTAAATCCTTGCTACAAAACGGGCCATACGCGTGCGTAAATTGGTCATTTGGAAACATGGAGACAACTGTGCCAATCAATCAAAACGCGACCGGAGCGCTTTCTATAAGTCAGTCAGTCATTTTATGCAGTCCTGTGCAGTTCATAGTGGATGCATATGTAAATAGAGTAGCCTGTTGAGAGGGGAGCTTCCGCCTCCTTTGTATTAAGCGTCTGTCATCAGAGCTGTTGCTGGCGGAACACCTCCACGGTCACACTGAATATGCCGGGACTGCTGCTCGGAGATGTACTTCCAAATTTCGAGGTGGAGACCACCAATGGCAAAATCAAAATGCACGAATTTCTCGGTGATTCGTAAGTAGGCTTCTTGAATATTGATATCCTTATTTATAGGCTTACAGAGTTTGCAGCTTACACGAGAGAGGGAGAGAGCTTGCGCCCAGTTCCTGTTACTGCTACTGACTTCTGCTTTAGACATTTGCTTATGATAGCATCAAGACCTTTAAAGGTGGTATTGTAGCCTACAGGTGCACATGCCATTAAAAATAATGTTCTATAATGTGGTGGACACATGAATCTCTGGTAACCTTCAGATGTACAGCGGTTTATGACCAGATCATAGGGCTGTTGATCAGATAGTGAAGTTTCCAACTGAAAAGCTTAAATAAGCCAGAGTTCAAAGCTTAAACCCCTCGATGGTGCAAAACTACATCGCTGACTTCAAGAAAAAAAGCCTCTTCTGTCACAAAGAGGTCACATCCTGTCAGTTTGGTGTCAGATGCATGTTCATCTGATTGTGTAACTACAATATTAGAGATTTCTGTCTGATGAGAGGAAACTGCGTGCGATGGAAACCTCAGTGAAACCTCAGCTTGCATCTGCTCATTACAGAAGCACAGACCGTTAAATGTACCTGACACGGCCCTCACTGATTGCTCTTTTTAATTCCAGATGGGGAATCCTGTTCTCCCACCCCAGAGATTACACCCCGGTGTGCACCACAGAGCTGGGTCGAGCTGCCAGACTGAGCAGTGAGTTCAGTAAACGCAACGTCAAAATGATTGCCCTGTCCATCGACTGCCTGGAGGATCATCACGGCTGGACCAAGGTGTGATAGCTACAGCATCAACACGTATAGAAGGATGTTTATGGCGTACTGAGCATCAAAGTTTGGACTTCCCCGCTGGTAAAACTGTTATGTAGTTAGCTCTGTCTTTACGGTGAGCAATCCGGTAATCATAGTTCTTTGCAGGTCAGGAGTTAGACAGGTTACACATAACCCTTTTAACAATGGATTTGATGACTACTAATACTATATTGTGTCGCAGGTCCTAACTACACACTGAAATACATATCAATACAAATCATGCCAATATGGTTGAAACTATATATATATAACTTAGACCTAGATCTATAAAACTGAGGGGAAATATTACAATTTCCCAGGATTTTTTATTGACATAACACCTATAAAACTGGATTACTTCACCGATTCAGTGGGAAATTGGATAACATGCTATGGTCAAATGTATTTATGACAGCAGTTTGAATGTATTTAGTCTAGACTGCAACTTGCAGTTGACATCTATGTCAGTCCAAAATGTCATCACTTCATCATTTTATGCTATTAAGACATTTGTGTGAAATTGTCCCTATGAGGAAAAGGAATTCTTATATTATGGCCAAAAAATCTGTCACATCTTTCACCACTAAATCAAAATGTGTTCATCCTTGAGTCCAAGTGGATGTTTGTGCCAAATTTGAAGAAAATCGCTCAAGGTGTCCCTGAGATATTGCGTTCACGAGAATGAATGGACAACCCGAAAACACAATTCTATCTTTACTTGTCCGTGCTGCACTACATTGGTTTCCTTTAGTTTTTATTTTGATCATAAATATCACATGTTTTTATAAAACAACGGAGCTCCATCGGTGCAGCTATAAATAACTACGGGCTTGTGTGTCTCTGTACTGACCAGGACATCCTGGCATACAACTGTGACGAGTCTGCTTGCTGCTCGCTGCCCTATCCCATCATAGCGGACAGTAAACGGGAGCTGGCAGTGGCCCTGGGCATGCTGGACCCAGATGAGAAGGACAAAGACGGCCTGCCACTCACTGCCCGCTGTGTAAGAGTCTTCACAATCAAAATCCAACTTCCCTGCTTAAAAGGAAGCATTTAAACTAAATATAGTATCTACTCTCATGCACATAGAATAAATAGTAACCAAGTCAGGCTCCATCTCTCTGTCTTCGTTTGCGTAGGTGTTTATCATCGGCCCTGACAAAAAGCTAAAACTGTCACTCCTCTACCCGGCCACCACTGGACGCAACTTTGATGAGATTTTGCGAGTGGTGGACTCACTCCAGTTGACAGCAGGGACACGACTGGCCACACCTGCCGACTGGAGGGTACGTCACACCTTTGAAAGTTACCTCAGTTTATACCAATCATTTCAGCAGCCGACCACAAAGATAATAGAAACAGGAATTGACCTGCTGCCATGCAAGAATAACCTGGTTTCTTTCTCCTCCAGCCTGGAGACTGTGTGATGGTCCCTCCCAGCATGTCTGAGGAGGAGGCCGCCTCTTCGTTCCCAGCTGGCGTCTACTCCAAAGACCTGCCCTCTGGCAAGAAGTACCTGCGCTACACACCTCAGCAATAGTCACGGGCAGGGACAACACCGACATTCAACACTCTCTTGTGTTGCACGCAATCCAGCAGCTCTCGTTCTTGGACCTTCTGCTAGTTTTTGTCCCTACCAGGTAAATAAACCAGTCAGCAGGTATAACAGGGAACAACAACCAATGTCTTCAGGAATGTATGTAGGACTTTTCTAAATTGGAGGTTTTACAGCATCTACTACAACTCCAATAATAAAAGATGTAATGTTCAGCCTACTTTTCAAAAGGGGGATTATTTTTGGAAAGATAGGGATGAGATGGGAACATATATATTACAAACAATATGGCAGAGAAGCTTCTACTTTGCAACAGTGATATGATTTTTTGGACCAACGCAAGAGGAAGTAGTTTGTGGTGTTACACAAAGGATTACGTAATGAGGGCAAACAATGCTATGCCTATGTATTCATTTTATCTGACGTGTACTTCAATAAAAACAGTTTCACATGTACAGTTGCCTCCTTTCAACATACATTATTACTGTAGCTTGCATTGGTTCTACCGGGTCATATTCAAATTTCACTAAAAGTCTTGTATCTATACTCCAATGGTTGAGTCGTCGATGTAGACATTTCACTGTTTCATTTTAGGAAATAGGATAAAATACAGTTAGGACAAGGGACAAGCTGATTAAAAATGAATTATATATCAAAACACATTAGGTTGGAGTGACTGGTGAAAGGCATGAGCACAGACTTATCATTTAAATTATTTATTAAGAACACATGTGAAGGTGACAGTACTTGACGGCGTTTATTTGAGGAGAGAGCCGAGGTGCGAGTCATCATATCTGTTGATGTCGCCACATTCACTCCTCTTCATTTTGGGTAGAACTGCAGCAGTGGATCTAAAAGGCAGACAGCCATTACAAAGCTCCAACAGCTCGTCTCCACAGAGGTCTTTCTCTACTGTCATCTGCCAAGTGGTTTGAAATCCTGCATTAGTGGAGTCTAAGCTCACATAATGAGACCCGAGTGAACCTCCCGACAGATATTCAGAGAGCTGTTGTCCGGGGCTGTTCATATCAGGAAAAGCAGCAAGGTCAAGACTGGTGTTCTCGTCGCCAGTGTGCGGATTTGTCATCACTGTGACGAAAGAGAGAGTCAGTTCCAGCTCGGCCGCCTCCCACCAGTGATGTCATCTCTGATTCATGAGGGCCTGGTACTCCCTCTGGTGGGCGAACAGTCGCAGGAACACTTTGTACTTTCTCTCATAGAAGCTGAGAAAAGCATGAAACGCCGACAATAATTACACAAATGTGATGCATGGAAGTGGATGTTTCAGTTTGTAGCAAAACACACAGACTTCTTACATCACAAAGTTCCCTCACTACTCACCACCTCACCTTGACTTTGCTTGCTCAATATTGCACAATCTGTTTTTTTATATATTTAAACATTTAAAAGCAATGCTTCCCAGTAGAAATAAAAGTAAAAGTAAAAAAGATATATCTTTCAACTGCATGAATGTATAAGATCAGAATAATCTGACAGAATTAAAGGAAAGGGTAGAAATACATTTTGATTGGTTCCTTTGAAAAGGCAAGTTGTTGAAAAAGTCAACATTTGCTTGGATAAAATATGTTGATATGTTGCAATCTTACTGAATTAAACATCATATATATTTAACTCTTTTATATTTCTATCCCACAAACCATTACAGCGACCATGACTTTCACCCGATATTAAAAGATAATTCTCTTTGTCTCACCTCTGGAGCTCAAAGTCAGGCTGAACAACTTTCCCCACTTTAGCCATTCTCTCCATTGCCTCCTAAAACATAAATTGCAAAGACAAATATCACTCAATAAATCATGTTATGCACATTCAGTTCCAGCCGTGACCCAGTTATAGCATTAACACCAGGCAACTACAGTGGTTTCTGAGTTTATGACTAATGCAGTGCAGGGCCTCTCTGCTGCCTGAGACTAAAAGAAATCCAGCCAGTTGACTGTGTGCAGCTCAGAGGATCAGACACAACAACTGCCTGCAGTGATTATGGCTGAAAATGGGTTGACAGGTGCAGCCTAGTCTAAACAATAACGTCTTATTTTTAGTATATCTGGCTTAAAAGCTTGCCATTCCCCTGTGCTCCGAGCTTTGGTACTGAGGCACAGAGGGATGACAGCTTGACCTAAAAGATTTAACCATCACTTCATATCTTAAACACATTGTGCCACAAATCTTCTCTGTGGCTGAGGCAAGCACTTTGCACTTTATACTTTTTTAGGTCCATTTTATTAGACTACAAAATAAGAGCATTGGATTGCAAACTGCTAAATATATTGCAAAATAAGGAACGCCACTGATTTCCCCCATGAAGCTCAGTTTAATCTTCATCAGGAGTACTACATACTGTGGAAACAACAGCATAATGTCTGCTGTGGCTCAAGAAAAAAAAAAAAAATTTTTTTTTATTTCAGGGTCTGCACTACAAACTGGAGGTGTGTGGTTTGCAGGAAGTGGACATTTAGAAGACAGAGGGGCTCTAATGAAAGATGCTATCCTGTTGGGTCTTTTTAAACGTATAAAAACATTTTATGATTTTGGGAACCGAGATGTTTATTGCAACACACACACAGAAGAGTGCATTCAGAAGAGCAAAACAACTTGCAGTACCTCTCATGCAATATTCAGCACGAGGGTAATTGTTTGTAGTATCGTTTCCACTTGCGAAAAACAGCAACTGTGAATTTCGATTGTGACTATTTATGATGTCTCAGAGTATTTCCATTGGAATACTACTACTGTACTTGTACAACAGATTTCCACGTGAGTGTATGTTGAAGAGTAAACAAAGACACAACTGTAACTAATTACATATTTTTGAGAATCTGTGATTTTGTGTGATATTTTTGTAAGAAAGTTACATCTTGTAATCGAGTACAAAAAACTATACATCAAATTTCCCCGGAATATTTATCATCAGCAGTGGCCCGTTTTTGACAGTAGTTGTATTTACATGTGGATATTTGAAAACATATTAAGAACATTTGTGTAAAAGCACACAAGGATATTCCTAATTATTAGCGCCAAATGTAACCGAAAGAATTAAGTCTCTTCTGTCTAAGCCCCTGTCACTTTTATGACCTTAGTTTAGACACTGTGGGCCACTCCACCTGTACAGTGCTGTAGTCCTGTGATGCACATGCACCCAGGACTGCTGCTCCTATCAACACAGCCTCCATCTGGTCTGGCAGCACCACAGGCAATCCTGAAGAGGACAAGATTAACAAAAAGTGGATTTAGCTTAAGTGTCCAAGGGAGGTTTAATTAACAAAAGTTTTCATAACAATGTCTACGGTTTAGTAGCAATTGTACAGAAACCAAAAGTTTTTAGGTTACGACTATTCAACATTTGTGGATAAATGCCTGTTTAGCTTAACTGTCACTCACAACATCAAAGCTGTCATCATGCCTCGTTAGTATTTCACACCTGTAGCGTTAGCGTGAATCTGGACAAACAGGTCGTTTTTGCTCAACCCGCCACACATGAAGAGGATTCTGATGTCATGACCTGCTTCTTTCATGGCCTCCAGAATATGGAGAGTCCCAAGCTGAAACCAGAGAAGAAGATGAAAGGAGAGTCAGGTTACCAGTTAACAAATACACCTTCCTTCACACTGTAATGCAGGGGTTCTCAAACCTTTTGGGGCCAGAGACCCCTTACATTTTCCAAGGACCCTCATAATCACAACACTAATTTAGCATAATGCTTACTACCATTTCTACTCTTAGATGCCATAGAAACTGTTTATACTCTAATGCTTTTCAACCTCAATAGGTCAGAGCTGTTTCATAATGATAAACAGAACCCCATTTCAATTTGAATCAGGCTAATACCACTTTGTTTTGTTCTTAAATGAAGGGTTCTTTGTAATCTGATGTCGCTCTTCTCAATAAAATCAAACTCGATATAACTCAGATTGATATTTCTCCACGCTCACTAGCTAGCTAGCTAGCCGGCTAATAATCCAAGCTAAGCAAATCACGGACCCCCTGACACAGTGACACAGAATTCTGGGGGTCCCCTGACCCACTCTTGAGAATCACTGCTTTAAAGTACAAGGTTGTCAGCGTGAGGCTCAGAGAAAGTCATACGACATTTTGAAACAAATAAAACACAGTAGACTCACAGCGAGGGCCTGTACAGTGGCCAAATAGAGCAGGGCCAAGTCGTCCAAGGTTTGGGAGAGTGGCAGTCCGATCACCTTTAAAACAGTAATGAGTCATTTGTGCCAAAATGTCTCAGTGCTGAATAATAGTCACAAGAGGGGTGCTTTCACCAACAAAAAGGTTGGTGAAAGCAGAGCTGTCACCGAGGGGCTGGTATCTCAAATCACCAGTGATTCAGTGGAAACAATACTCAACAGTTCTCTGCACCATGAACCTACAGATGTGGTCAGGAAACAATGATGAGCTAACTGAATACAGAAATCATTTCAGTCACGTTAATTCTTTGCACTTTTAAAATACTTGTGTGAAAACTTTAAAAGTGAATGTTGTCAGTGTCATTTAAAAAAAAACATGAGATGCAAACAAAAAAAAACAAAAAAACGAACTCAGATATTTTGTTACGCGATAAGGATTGACCCTAAGTCTGACTGGTGCTTTGTAAAGTTAGCTGCTTCAGCTAGCTGATAGCTAACAGTATTCTGAATTTATTTTGGTTAAAAGAATAGTTTCTAAGATGTAGATGAGAACATTGACACCACTCTCATTTCTGATAGCGTCAATCTTCTCATCTAACTCACCTACATATGCGTATTTCTCAAAATGTTAAATAAAACTAAATTGCAATACAATCAACAAGCAACCTCTCAAGCATACTTAAAAGTTTTAGGAGGGTCTGCAACGACCGCTCCAACTCTGTAGGTTAGTGCAGTCAATAATATTTCATGTCCCCTCACCGAGCCCTTCAAGGTGGGGTCAGCCAGGGGCGACCTGTTCCCGTGGAAGTCCGGCCACAGGTGAAGACTGGAGCCCAGCCGGTCAACGGTAGAACCGGAGGGAGCCATTGAACTCAGGTGGGTGTTCAGGTAGCTGTAGATGTTCTTGCCACTAAGGGGAAATGTTCACATGGAACTGGTCATTAAAATTATGCTTTGTTTGAATTACATTTTTATTTATGTGAAATTTTGAACACATTTTGATTTAAAAACAACTAGCGTTGTAAATTAGTCCATAGCCTAGTATTTTTTAAATTTAATCGAACCATTTGGCAGTACATCCGCAGCCCACTAGATGTCGCTCTGATGCCCACCAGTGGTTGAGAATAGCCGGTATAGAGTACACAACCTTACTAAGCTTCTAACCTTCCCAAAGCTGACTAAACATTATTATACATCAGCTAACCAGGGATGACAGCTGTGCTGGAAGGTTTTTGGGAGGTGCAGCACTAAATGAATCAGCTGACCTCTGCCGTGCCTGTTCCTGGAGCTGGGTGGAGGCGGCGTGGCCCTTCACCATGTGGTCGATCTGAGGGAGGAGTCAGCAACACAATTCAACAGAAAGGATTACAGGTGACACAGCTGATGACTGTGAAGATTAAACTGTTGTTTATTATAAGTCGTTTATCAATTATTTTCAATTATTGATTAAACTTTTAATTTAGACAGACGGCTTTTAAACATTGTCGTTTATGTGGCCAGTTGCTCAGGTCTGGGTGACTTTTGGGTGCGTCTACACACGGATTGTATACATTTTGTCTCTTCTGTTGCTGCACAGCATAAAGCGGGTCAGTGAAAGCCTGCTTAAAGCTTGACAGAGGACTGACCAGCCTTCCTGTAGCACTCTGTCCTCCCTCGTTGAGCCACATGCCAGGCACCATGGCAGACAGGCAGGGTCCCCACACTCCTGGCACAAACAGAGGCTGCTTGCTGATCTGATGCACATGGATGAAAAACGTCATGTTTTAGTTTGCATAGCATATCACACTGGCAACCTACAAAGATGGAGGTACAGCTGTAGTTAAAAGCTAACAGAAATACTGTAATGGAAACCACTACTGTTTCAACGTTAGATTACATTTTCATCAGACTACTGCTAATAGATTGCATACCCTATTGGTATTATCTTAGTTTTACATCAACTTTAAGGTCAGAAAAAGTGTGAAAGTGTCAGAAAGGTCATCAGTTCATACCTTATATATATTATAGTTAAGAGTATTTTTCAAAAAGTCATCCAGCGGGTGAAATGTAGTTGTAAACTGCTCACCGCCATGTGACAGGTTGATGTTCCACAGATCAACGCCATGCGCGAGGTGATCGGCTGGTCCTCACAGGGCAACTGAAAGCCTTTTATATCTGCACCTATCACACCTGGAAAGAGAAAAATCACACATTTTAAATCCGATTTTGTAACCATCAGAAATAATCATTCGCAGGGGAAAAATACGCGTAAACATTTTTTGGTGTTTCCCAATACAACGTTCGCAAAATTCCCCTTTGTCGGGGACAAATCACAATGATTTGCAGATGAAAAGCTTTAAATCCTTTTGAAGTGCTCCTTTAACCTTCACATGGAATTCAGCGGTGACACTAACTGCTGGAATAATGTTTGTCAAGCTGGTTTGAGTTTAAGGTGGAAGGTTCATCTGTGTGAGGGGGCAGGCAGTGTGCATCACTGTGACATGAGTGTTTTAGCCTCGGACCAATACGACAATGTGTGATAGGCGGAGGTCAGAGGGCAGAGTTCATGAGCAGTTCATCTCCCAGAGCAAAACCAGATGGGTAGGGTTTGTGAGCCGGAGGAATGGTCGACTGCTGCCCTGAAGCGAACAAAGTGCTCACAGATACAGTAATACAGCAGCATTAATTAGTGACTTTTTTTATTTCTTGCATCTTATTTCATTTTTGCCCCAAACTATCAAAGCAGGCAGTGTTTTGGTGGGCGAGCAGTCTAAAATGCATATCAGTAATTGCAAAACCCCTACTTCAATTACTCTCAATTCAAGTCATTCCCTTGTTGTATCACTGCTACAGTCAGCTATCTACAAAGGAAAAAAAACGCTAAATATTAAAATGATCTGGACAACTACTGGCTCAGAGTGCCATGAACATTGCACATGATGATACTCATCCTCCCTAGACCCCCTGGCCTTTCATCTAGCACCACCAACAGGCCAGAATACAGATTTGTGCACAGTAACTATTTGAAATCAAACATCAATTACCCCGGTGAATAAACTCTTTTCCTTTGGGACACTTTAATGGCTTTCCTTAGGTACCAGGTCAGGTTTTCAGCTTTGTGCACAAGATACTGAAAACTATTCCAAGAACATGCTGTGGTTATTTACATTCCCCTGAAAGTGAAATCTAGTGTTGACGAGCTCCTGACCTTCTCTATCACCACAACTATGCTAACCTTTATATTGTTGCGCAAGAAATATTAACATTTTAACCAGTCATGAAGTTAAGTTTATTTATGCTCCCTAGTGGAGGGACATCTACATTTTTGACACTCCAGGAGCTTCAACTTTTTAAAACAAAATGTCAACTTTAGACATAAATATTAAATCTCCTGCCTCCCTCTGGTGTCTTTTGAAGTATCAAGGTCTGGCAAGATTGGTAAACATAACTTTGCCCTGTGCACCCTACTGATGACACATTTCATGTTTTATGGTTATTAAAGTTTATAGTTTCAAAACTTTTCAACTTTAAAAGCCACGTGGGACCTAGAAATCTGCCTACACACAGGAAAAAATAGATATATTAGGCAGAAAAAGACTGGTCCAATAAACAGGTTAATACCAAGGCCTCCAGCATGAGCATCAATGAGAGAAGCCCCGACTGCAGTTCCTGGCTCCAAATTCAACTCTGCTGCTGCCTCCCGGGTGAGGCCGTCTCCCAACGGGCTCCCTGGAGAACAAGTCGCGCTGCCTGGATGACATAACACGGCACGGCTTAAATAATGACAGAAGAACTCTTGAGTAGATGATGTGTTTGAAAAGAACATGAAGTTAACAACATTTTCTGTTTTCTTTCCATCTTAAAATATACAATTGATTATAAGCTTGTTTGTTAATGTATTTACCTATTTTGGAAAAGTTGTTTTCCAGGAGATCCTCGAGTCCAATGTTGGTCCAAAAACCAGCATCCCATCCATCTGGAGGGCAATAAGTCCATTTACACACCAGAGTACATAAAGACCTGTGAAACATCGCCAACAGATCAAGAGCATCTGGTGAAGACCAACGTATCAAAAAACACTTGTCTGTGATGAAACCCACATTTCTTAAAATGTCTCAGAATAACCCCATTCTTTCTTTTCAATACAAGGATAATAGTTCAGCAGCTTAGCTTCATCATTATGAGACTAGTCACTAACAACAATTTGTAGGTCACTGTAAAAACTCTTTTAATCCCACTCTGAAATTCATGTTTCAAACACATAGTGCACATGTAAATAAAAAGGAGGTTTAAACATCATTCAATCACCAAACAAAGCTCACCGAGTCAAAGAGCCCGTTGCCTTCCACGACAGGAAGTCTGGAAGGTCGAAAAAGTGAGCAGCTTTGTTCCAGCAGCTTTCTCTTAGATTCTGATTATAAGACAAAATAAATGTGTGCTACTGAACCAAAAAGTGAGTAATAACAGCACATGCATTTACTGGCAGACCTTAAAAAGGGACAAAATCAAAAATACATATTTTTCCTCTAACCTGTAGTGATATTCATCAGTCTAGATTGTGTTTGGTGCGAGTGTTGGAGATATTGGCCGCAGAGATGTCTGCGATGGACCTATAGATCCTACGTGAAACTGCTCACAACAAGGTCTGTGGATTATCTTCAGTAACCGGGTCATGATTTATGGAGATAGAGACATTACTTTTTCAGATGTATTTTTTTGGAGCTTTGAGCACCACAAGCCGAGTGCCAGATAGTCCCATTACATTGGACAGACGACAGACATCTCTATGGACGATATCTCTAAAACTAGGCAAGTCACACCAAAACAACCTACATTGGTAGATAGCACTACAGGTTAAGAGGACAAATATGGGGAGAGAGTATGGAGAGAAAAAGGTGAATAAAGAAGAAAAACTATAACAACACCACACATGTTAACCAGCAGCCACTACAGAGAGCGACAATAAAACATATAGAGATCAGTGATCCTGTGGTGACCTCGGTCACCTCTCACCTCTTTGAGCCAGAGCAGCTTAGGGGGTTGCAACTCTGGTGACATGACCCCTCCCACCCTGCTCAGGACCCTGTGACCGGTGTTGGTTATACGAGCGGCCTGCTCTTCAGCACGATGGTCCATCCACATCACCATGTTCCTTTGTTTGTCACCTGGGAAAGTCAGGAGGGGAAGGGGGAGGATGCGGTTAGAGTGAGAGCAAAACGTAAATATACTAAATATTTTAAGATTAAATTGGTCTATGTAAGGAGATGATGAACAAAACTCAGACTGTGATATTAATCTATTATCTAGGCAGCATATGATCAGCCATTTAACCTAACTACCTGGGTCCTGACTCCTGTGTCCATTGAAAATAACATGAGTCCCAACCAACTCCAGGGGTTCTGATCTGTAGCTGACCCTGACCTCTGACCTCGCTGTGTAGGAGGAGGTTTTACCTCCAGGGATCAATAAACTATCCAATTACATTAGACTAAAACCAGCAATCCAAGCTAAACTCAACAACTGAAAGGTTTCATACCAAAACACTCAAAAAGAATCCATTCTAGTACAATTTTACAATCAGCATTTCAAAAACATGATTAATTCCACCTTTAATAACCCAAAGTGTGCAATTAGATGTATGTACATTATGCTTTCCTGAAGTACACAGGTCAGGCTGTACATAAAATAAATATTTCACTGACCATCCTGACTGACTGGCACAGGCTGGAAGCTTTGGTCCAAAACCACGAGTGAGCAGGTGGCATCAAAGCCGATCCCTCGTACCTGACTCTTCTCCACACTTTGGGTAACTCTCTGGAACAGATATAAATTAGGTCAACGGTTGTATACGTAAGTAATACCTGTAGAGAGATTATAAGAGGGTATAGGGTTTATCATGGGGCACTTGAGTTTGTCTGATGTTATTGGGTGGGCATGTTAATTAAAGGCAGGGAATAAACCAGTGCTCTACCTCACCATGCCAGTAACTTACCTTGACCACTGTGCAGCACTTCTCCCAGATCTCAGTGGAGGACTGCACATAGTGGTCAGACTGGGGCTCCCAGATGCTGATGGGCTCCTCTGCAGTGCTCTTCAGCAGGCCAGCCCTGGTCACCAGTGCAGCCCTCACACTGGCGGTGCCCACGTCCACCCCAACATAGTAAACCTCAGCCATGATGAGACCAGCTGAATGTAGCGGGGGAAGGACCCACGAGTTGATCATTAACCAGGTTACACCGTCAATGTCAACAGTTAATGGACTGTTGCGCAATAATTGAACCGAAACACATATCAAGTTATCAACGTATGTATATATTACATTTGCTTTTAATTAATGACTTATTGTGTATGTGTTGGCGCATGAGACACTGGAATCCTGCTGAATAATAAACGCTACAGTGCAGCGACTGAGATTTTCTTCTCGTGTTCTGCACGGAATAACTTTCACAACAGACGTTATCAAACACAGAGGACATGTGTACACCAGTTATAACAACATAACCGAACTTACCAGCTGATCAAAATCTTATATCAGCGCACAAAATATCAATTTTGAGTTTCTGTTAAACGTACTTTGTGCTGTGTAGACGGTGGCTGCTACGGAACGCGAAACCGGACAAAAAGGGCAAAGTCGATTTTTTTTTTTCCCCTCTCATGCTGAGCGGTGTAAAGTCCAAAGGAAGTCAAGTAAGCGCCATGTGTTACTAGAGTCCTCCCTCTCTGTTTCTCCCTCGTTATCATCTTATGTTTGGAGGATCCAGATGTTTAGAAGACTATTGCGTCATGGAAAAATCATTGTAACTCAAAAATTGTCTAAATCTTCCAAACATAGTACTGACTGTGGGATAAGGGAATGCAATATGTCGAATAATATGACACCGAAAACATATTCAATTGAGTTAAAGTAGTCCAATCTGACTGCAATAACAATTCTCAATAACTGAATGGCAAACATTTCCTTTATCAAACGTAATTGTGCAAAAATCTAGGTTTAAGAATGTTTTATTTTAGTGTCTATTATTTTCTTATGATGCATAGTCCTAAATAATACTGTGTTCAACCATATTTCCGCAAACTGACAAACAAAAAAAGGTTTGTTTTATTCCGTATCTTGTCTGTGTAAACAAAGTAAACAAATTGATTGAAGGCACTTCTTGTCTTCTTTATAAAATGTACCGGCCTTTCACACAATTTCAACCCATCCACATCATTATTAGACAACCAAAGAAAGTGCTCCCGTAGTGTAATGATGTAGTAAAAAGACCCCCCCAAAAAAAAACACACACAGGGAGGATGTGGAGGTGGATGGGTCAAACCAAAAGGACAATCAACCAGGAGGCCGGTGTTGGAGTTATTTGTAAGTTGCGTCAGTGATGTTTTCCGTACGTTACATTGTCCAAGCTTTACGTACTTACCGAACTAAATGGTTTTGTTGCCTTAACCTAAGTTTACGTAGTTGTTTTAAGCCCAACTGTGGTGTTTTTCCTCAAGCTAACTAAGTGGTTTAGTTGTCTTAATTCACAACTTTAACCACGTGTTTAAAGCTAACATAGTGGAGCATCGTATTTTGATTTATGTCATGCCCCTAAGTGCCTCAGAAAGTGACGCTGAGGGTTCTGACAAAGCGTCAATATATGAGTTGGGATGGAAACGTGTTGAGTATGCACAATGCAAGGGCTCTGGAACAAGCAAAACTAAATGGTGTGCATTGTGCAATGTTGTTAAGTACACTTGTGCTTTTTTTAAACTCAAAATGTCTCCTGTAAAAACGGTCTATGAAAAACTATGAGTAAAGACAGTGTACATAACTTACTAACCACACATAGGTAAACTGAAGGACATGATTTACTGTAACAGATAATAATCTGTTAGCGTTAGGGCGGCAAAATGTCACAAAACCTGCCATCAAAAACACAAAGACTTTATTTGTGAAACTTTCTAGTCTGCAACTAGCCTGGTCACTTCCCTCTATTGGGTTCTTTTCTTAGAGGAGATCAACAGCTGTCTCAAAGAAGCGGTGCTGGCTGTGATCAGTGTGTTTGGACCAGGAACCATGAGCGGAGATGAAGTACAGAGAAAAACCAAGCAGCAGGACAGGAAGAAACAGATGTGCTTCAACAAACACTGCATGGACAGTGTTTGAAATCTCATCTGTCTCACTCACTGCTTGGTGTGTGTGTGTGCCTGTGTGTGTGTGTGCGTGCGTGTGTCCCTCTGGTCCACGCCTGCTGTAATCAAAACTTTGCTCTGTTGATACATCAACACATGCATATATAGTCTTTCTCTATGTTTTTCTCTCATGAAAGGGGGTGAGTGTTTCCATGGACCCTGGACTGTCCCTCCTCTGCACAACAAAAGCCGGCATTTTGGGAGACGGGGCAGGACCAGCTCCTGATTATAAAAACTGCATGCAGTGGAAACAGCTGGCCCGGGCAGGCAGGAGGAAAGCGCTGTTATCTAAAAAGCGAACCCATCAGGCCAGCAGAGGGGAAAAGCTTCTAGAGAAACAGGAAGCACACCCGGGACACAGCGGTAGTTTGATAGGAAAATAGGCAACTCCTCAGTGGGGCCTAACACAGGTGTTCAAAGAGAGACACAGAGAGAGTTAAGTGGCTCAGAAAGTTATTGTTTCTGTAGAAGTTGCTCTATTGTGTTAGGAGAGGAGGAACCATGAAAGAAACTGGGGTCTTGTTTAACTGCATTACCACTGTGGTATTAGACACACAAGTTTCTGAAGCATTCCAACGCTGGATTTCTACTTCAGGGTGTCACATACTCCCAAATGGGTGTTGCACCCGTCGCGTTGTGAGGACAACATGTCATCTCAAGAGTGTTGACCTCAGGCAGCTCTGGTTCTCCCAGGCTGTCTGGGGCTGTTAACTTATTTATAGTTGGCTTGAGGAGAACATGTTGAATAATACAATGGGGGGATGGCCAGACAGAGTGGACTGCAGCTGTACAGAGCCTTCAGTCACATATTATGAGCGTCAACCACAGAATGTAATGAATATATTTCCTGCATTATCCGCAACTGAAATACGTGTGCAAGCAAAGATCAAGTGGGCAAATTATAAGCAGGGCTGATGTATAAATCACGATTTACCTTGATGACAATAAATGCAGTGACCTCTTTTTAATTCATCCGTGCATTATTGTTACTTCCGTGTGTTGGCTCAATTCATACATATATGAATGACCGGGTTAAGATATATATATATGTCACAAATGACATATAATTATTGGTTGTTGGAGCTATTACCACTTTGATTCTATGATATTTTAACAATCTATTGGATTCTGCAATAAAATATGAATTTAGAAGAGTAAGAGTTTCATAATGTCTGTTATATCGATTATTCTTAACATTTAGCTCTATAAATCAATATTAATTAATTGTGTAATTCCAGTAGCAAGTATACCACAATCCAATATAAATACTACAGTAACAATTTGACTCATATTTGCTGCAGTGTATGGTGGCTGCCCATGTTGGTTGTTGTCATATGTCTAAATCTCTGTAGACTATGTGTCGGTATGTTGAGAACTATGAAAACCGCAGTCATATTTATTGTATGTTTTATATAATATTCAGCCACTAACGTTGATTGTGTTTCTCAGAGCACATATCTCCATTCTCTCTCTGCAAGAAGTTAGAACGGCAACTCAAACAAGTACAGTAGAGCCATTTTCTTAAAATGTGGCGTTCACAACAAAAGAAAGCAGAAATGCAGGTGTGACCTAATTTTCTTTCTTCTATCGTTAACCCTTAACATTACCAGCCAATCGCACTCACTGTGCGAACGTACAGCACATTTAAGCTGTAACAGCATATATAATATACGAGACACTGCATTTCATGTCACTGCATTTTGATAATGAGGTAATCGTTTCAATGTGCTCTCTTGTGTAACTTTATATATGTTCCTGAACACAAACGTCTTATTGAGGGAACACTGATTCGCTGTTGTGTGTTGATCAAGGTTAAACCCCACGGACCATCTGGAGCAGCCCTCGCTTCAGGATGGGTAACTAATAATTGAGCGGGTAACTAAATATTCAAAAACACTACGTAATCCCGGCGTACATTGCTCCACCGTCTGCATTACCTAATCCCAGAAGCCATCGCGGGGGGGCGGGGATATGGCTAGTTGTCAGAGCAACCTGCATGTCATTAGAGACACCCCACCCACTATATCATTTCCAGCCAATCGGAGGCCGTAGAAATGACATCATTGTTATTTTCAGTAGAGCTGCAGCTTAGAGGTGGATAAAGTTCGTCTCCACGTTGGAAGTGATAGAAAGTATTATCCCCGTTCGGACCCCGTTTCTGCGTTTCGGGACGGCGGATCAACTCAAAGCGGATACTTCAGGTGTGGGAACACCGAGCCTCGGCGACGGAGGGAACAACGGTTTTTTGTTGATGATCGCGCGGTACCGGAGAGAAAAGTTTTCTCAGGACACGAAGTTGTCAAGTGAGTTGAACTTCAACAATAGGCGGATTCTACCAGAAGACAGTCGAGAGCTAGGGAGGCACGGGGGCACATGTAAACAGTCGGTCTTTGGGGTTTTTTAATAAGAAAAAAGGAGAACTGACCTCATTCTAGGTGATAAAAAAACTTTTATGTCCAGAAAAATGGAAGCGACGTTTTACGATGAAGCCGTGAATGGCTCCAGCTCTCAGCATGACGGGCCGACGGTGTATGGGTTCAACCCCAAAACCCTCAAGCAGACCATGACGCTAAACCTCAACGACCCGAAAAACTTCAGGCCCCAGCTGAGCGCCAAGGCCCTGGACATCCTGACGTCCCCAGATGTCGGCTTGCTGAAGCTGGCCTCGCCTGAACTGGAGCGATTAATCATTCAGTCCTGCACCGGACTGACGACACCCACCCCGACCCAGTTCGTCTGTCCCAAGAACATCACCGACGAGCAGGAGGGGTTCGCGGAGGGGTTTGTGAGGGCTCTGGCGGAGCTCCACTACCACCAGCAGCCCCCCGCCGTCCACCCTGACGCGCAGACCGACGCGAACAACGGCATGGGATCCGGCTCCGCTGCGTCCGAAAGCGACGAGATTCCCTACAGCTGCACGGTACGCACCGACCCTCCGGCGTACACAAACTTGGGGGCTTTCAGCCGGGCCGTGGGCTCTGCGTCTACACCTGCCAGCGAGAGGCACCCGCCTTTGGGTTACCAAGTCGCCCCGCAGCAGTCCCACAATAACATGGACCACCTGGCGGCGGCGGCGGCGCAGCACTCGCGGCTACACGCGCTGAAAGAGGAGCCGCAGACGGTGCCCGAGATGTCCGGCGACACCCCGCCGCTCTCCCCCATCAACATGGAGAACCAGGAGCGCATCAAAGCGGAGAGGAAGCGCCTGAGGAACAGGGTGGCCGCCTCCAAATGCCGGAAAAGGAAGCTGGAGAGGATCTCCCGGCTGGAGGACCGGGTCAAAAACCTCAAGAACCAAAACACGGAGCTGGTTTCCTCTGCCAACGTCCTCCGGGACGAGCTGGCTCTGCTCAAGCAAAAGGTCATGGACCACGTTAACAGCGGCTGCCAGCTCATTTTGACGCAGCAGCTCCAAGCTTACTAGACTACCAAGGGTTAAAAAACAACAACCAAGGGACATTTCTTGTGGACCAAATGCAGCTTAATGTGGCCCGTTCAGCCATGCGGGGGAGCCCCTGCGTTTCATTGACATTTTCCACCAAATTATCCGCTCAAGCTGCACCCACTAATTTTCTGCAGACAAAGAGCAAGAATGGAGACTGCAAGATACTTCGGTCAGTGCGATGAATTATTACAGAGCAGAGGCCACAAAACCTGCAAACCACGGACAAAGCTCAGAGGGAGCTCCTAATACCCCTCTGATGCGACTTGTTAGATTAAAAAAAAAAAAAAAAAAAAACCCCCCCCCCCCCCCCACTCAAAACTACAAGACGTATTCAGTCACGCTAATATGGCAAGTGTCCATATCTAAAGCTAAAATGAAAGTGATTAAGTCCCATGCAGCCTTGCGTTCTGACTCCCAGAGCATGTGTGGGATCAAATTTTAAATTGACAGAAACACAAAATGTGAACGAGGCGTTGCCCTGCAAATCTGTCAAGTAGCAATTTATGCATAAAGACTTGAGTCAAGCACTGAGTATCCCACCAGCGACTATACAGTATGTACAAAGTAACACTAACAAAAAGCAAATCACACCTTTTTTAGGCAAGGACTCTCATAGGTGTGTGTAGCGTTTACTGACAAAAAAAAAAGAAACCTGCCTTACTTTCTTAACCTTTTATGTTCATACAACTTTGTGATATAGACCTGAAATAACACTTTGTAATAATATTTGTACGCTGTCTTTTTGAGCACTTCAGAACTGTAAATATGACAAAATAAAATGGACACGTGAGTACTTTTGTCTGCTGAATAATTGATCATTGGATACGGTCTTTGTAATGGCTTTACGTGAAGAGTTTGTTATTGAAGGACCCCGGGGCGGACGGGATATTGAGTCACCAGTGTCGTGTGTGGCGCTCGTAATGGCTGGCGAATCTACACGGCCGCCGATTGGACGACGAGGTGTCGGAAGTGAGCAGCAGGCAGCCAAATATGGCAAGAGGTCCACAGTGCGCACTGGGACGGTGAGTGAGTCACGGTCCTCCCACTGCAGCTGGTGACTCCCTCCTAGAGCAAACCTATGAAGCATACACACATTTGTTTACACACTTTGGAAGTGTGTTGAGGTACACAAGAAATATTTTCATGTGGGAATATTCTGAATCTAAACGAGTGAACAACTTGTACACATTTTAAGATTTATTTTCAGAACTACTGTCTGTAATAGAAATTATAAAACAGTTTGTGTAGAAAACAATGTTACATTTATACACACTTCAAGTTGAACGAGACTCTACACACACAAGCAGATATTCAAGTGCACTGACAGCTTTAGCTTACACACATTGTGGACCACCAACACTGATTGATGCTCGCTGGTCTTTGAACTAGACAGACGCCATTAAATGCTTCAGGAATACATCGGAGACGGTTTCAAGGTATGTTCACGAGGGGCGTGATGACACAGGAGGCAGCTGTCTGGCACATTTTAAGGATCCTGAACCCACACAGGTGTGGGTGATAAGAACTCTCTTTGAGGATCCTATGCCGACAGTGGCCGATCGACATTTTCTGTTGTATTTCCATCTTTCTCATTTGTATTCGTGAATTGATGACCTCAGCGCTGCCCCGAGATGAGGCCTAATGAGCCAGATTAAGTGAAAACACCCGAGTGTAATGTACAGGGCCTATTCTTTCTAAATCTTTCCTATAAGCACATTGTTGGGACCTAGTCATGTACACACTGCTACAATATTAGATATCAACTGTTCCTTGTTTATAGGACATAATGTAATAGTTGTGTTGCATATGCGACTCCGAAACGTTAACACTGTGGTGCAAACCGGCCCAATCAGAACCTCATTTTTCTGTCCAGTGCTCCATCTGCTGGTACCTCCTTAAATTAAATACTTTAAATATTTTACCAACAAATATATTTCTCACTAAATAACAGAAGTTACAAATGATTTCTGGTGGAACAGACAAAAATAATTTTCCATCTATTGGCCGGTGTCTGGAGTGGACTGCCCACTCTGTGTCCACTGTTCAACAGTTTCATCAAGCTCCACTCATGCTTTATCTCTTTGTGCAACAGGGATGTGATTCTGCAGGTATTATGAAAAGGGTATTCATTTTTTATAGACACACTGGTCCCCCATCTATTTCCATGTTGGGGATTATTTTTGTGTTCGGTTCCCCGGTTCATACACAGTCCAGCATTCGTGGTTCTCAGCTGACGAGCACGCCCTCTTTGGCAGCGAGGCGCTGCCGGTGTACGTGGTCCTGCTCCAGTTCTTCGTGGCTCGGGTGCCAGAGCCGTGACAGGATGCGCTCCATGTTCAGGGCATACATAGTGTGGGAGGGCATCACACCGCGGTGAACCTACATCAGACAAGTGTTGCAGGAAGACATTTAGGCATTCAATCCTCTGATGGTTAAATGAGGGCAGACAGGAATAACTGTGATAAACAGCAACCATAGAGGTCTAAGTGCAGTTCACCAATATGACCAATGAAAACATTTCAAAATATCTTACAACCAGGAAGCACCCACTTAAAAAGGCTGAAACATCTACCACTAGTAATGAATACATATTCAGTGTAAATGAATGTCACTCGGTGTATTTTAAGTGTAAAATTAAACATTTTCTGTGTCATTAAGCAATCGATCGATTATTTACAGAACGCAGACAGATCGCTAGAGAAAACAACAACCTAAGAGAGATGACAGCATGAAGCAGCTGACCTGCTACTTTCTGGCTACAGACTTCTCCCTGGTCAAAGTAGCACTACACACCTTGACCGTGTGTGGATCAACTTACAGCTGTGAGTCAGCATTCTGAGCTGTGAACGTTATGAACACCGAGTACAGTTTAGAATGGCACAAACTCCTTTCAAGCCAAGATTCAAACTATTGGCAGGAAGTCACAGGCCTGTTTCTCTCACAAAGGAACAAACTAGAAAACATGTTTTTAATTGAATATCCCTGTATAAGGCACTACGTTTGTTGAAGGTTTTGGAACTGAGAAACGTTCATGAACACATGTTTCTTACCTGTAAAGCCTCCAGCAGATCAAACGCGCTGATTGGAGGGAGGGGAGCGGGGAGAGTGGCAGCAGAACACGCCAATAAGTGAACAGCTTGCTGTTCGGCCTCATCAGGTGACACTTGAGGTGGTGGGCCAGTGGCGAGGGAAGCACTTGGAGGGGGACTGAAAGTAAGAAAAAGGAAAAATCACAATGGACTTAATATTTGTGATCAGTACTACGACTACGTTTTAACAAACAGCAACAGAAACCTAACCTAAGAGCTAACACAGTTGTCCCTACCATTCAGTAACACTGCGGTAAGCAGCCAGGCTGTTTTTCAGATAAGGCTGCGGTGTGACATCGCTGCCAAACGCGTACGGGAAGCGACCATCTCGTAACCTATACGCCTTCCTCCGGGTGATGACAGCAGTCAGGACGTCTTTCAAGTGGTGCTGAAATAAATCAGAGCGTCAGCCATTGCTCAACCTCCTGGGTAAACACAGCTGTCAGTCATACTTAATAAGCGGTACAAAAAATAAATCTCCCCGTTTCAATGTCAATCAAATGTTAAGCTCTTAATTAAACCACCATTAAAGAAATACCAGCATTCTCTCATATTTTGTATTCCAGTACAAACTATGAGAGAAATACTTTGTATTACAGAAAATTATTTACAAGATTATGAATTTCTCAAGGACAGAATCAATTAAATTTTTATGAATTTGAAGAACAAAACTGAAAGGAACGAACGTGTTCAACCTGTTGCCTGATAGACCACCATACATCGCCTTGTGAGTGTTTATTACAACCTTGTATAAGAGATTAACACTGACAAATTCTTTTTTTTTTTAGGGATTTAGGGATTTCATTTGGTACTCACTCATCCTCTGACAGAAGGTATCATATGTCGTACAGATTGTAAAGCCCTTTGAGGCCATTTTTGTATTACAAAATTGACGTGACTCAGCATTGCTGGCGGACAGTTGCTACAAACCTCAACAGCATGGATCATGCTGCTGACGGCATCGTCTGTGATGTTATCCAGGCCCAGCTCGAAGGCCGTCACCATCATGCGGGCCTCCAGCTGGCCCCGCGTGGGCAACAGCAGAGTGTGGGCACTTAGACGCAGCTCCTCCTCCTCACCTCCCACCTCCCTGGGGCTGAAAGGCTGGGCGGCGCTCAGAGGGTTCTGTGGCTGGAAACGATGCTGAAGATCCAAATGATACAGACAGACAGTTGTTAATGCACCGATTGATTAACTATACGCCACTAAAAAACATTTACACCCACTCATTATTTGAGCACTTACATTATTATGAACATTTCAACATTTGGCAGAGCTGCTTGTTAACGCAGCCAGCCTCTGCAGGGACGAATATCAAGTACTTACATCAAACTTCTGTCTGGAGGAACATTTCTTCTTCCCTTTTGGTTTTCCAGGCTTTGAAGCAGAGCCACCTTGCCACTGTAGTTGCCCTGCACACTCTAGAGGACAGCAGAAGAACACAAGATGAATTGAAGAAAACATGAATACAGATCACATTGAAAAAGAATATTTCCCTTTAGTTAAATGTTACAACTTTTGAATAGTGATAGCTTCTAACTGGCTTTTGAAAAATGAATCGGCAACACTATGCTTATATACATACAGTGGGTCAAAGCTTGGACACAAACACAAGCTCATGTGCAGTTTCAGAAAACAATTAATTCTGTAAGAAACTTCACCTGGTGTGGACACAATGATTTGGCAGCGTGTGAGGATGGCCAGGAGAAAATCGTTGTGGACATGGACTGTAAAGGAAGAACGAGAGAAATACAAATAAGCAACACTTCTCTAGAAAGCATCAACTACTCAACTGGAAGCGTTTCTTGGTTACCAACCGTTCTCCTGAGCCAGCAGACGACGAGCCTCAATGTCAAACTCCTCCTTGCTGATTTTCTGTTTGAACCATAGCTTCAGGTTTGCCCAGTAACTGCATGGAGAGGCAACAAAACAGAAAACATCATCACAAGACTCACTTTACTCCATGAGTTCAGGTGCATTTACTGCATTACTTTCATTTCATAAACAAACCTATGTTAGCCATAATGTAACGTTAGCCTCCCATCTCGTTATGTGAAAATAAATGATTCACTTTTCTCTCTCTTTAATATAAGTTTCTTTTTCTATCTCAAGCTACACATCCAGAGACCTTTAAACTGCATTAATACAAACTTACAAACACGTAAATGTGTATAACTTCTCCCTGAGAGCACATAATAAATGCTGAGTAACTGCAAAGAAATGTTGGCAGATTGATAACTGTTGCTGAGGAGAAATGTTGCAAACATTAGCAAGTGATAGCGAGCTGCTACTTTCCACAAGCTAGCTAATAGCAGAATTACTTTGCATTTCAACGGTAAACCAAGAACAATAACAGACAACCAACACCACAAAACACACACGAAAGGCATTTTACTTACAGCTTGACATTATCACCAATTGCATCAGTTAAATTCTTCTTTGCAATCTCAAGCTCGCTAGCATGAGCTGCCATGGCGTTGATGAATTCCTACAATTACGTCATCATTCAGCGACACAACTGTTTCCCTTTTTTTTTGTTTCTCAACTTTATTGAATTTCACGAACAGGACGAAAAATAAAAATCACGAACAAATTTTACATAAGCAATGTTATCCTTAACATTACCAAACAAGACTGAATTATTACTTTAGTCCTACACAATAGGAATGGCAGCTAATAGATGTAGGGCTCGCTGTACGCTTAAAACAAATGGCATCTTCACACAACAAACGCATACTACAAAAATATATATTTATTAACAAACACGCATTATAATTTCGGCTGGAATATTTATCTTGAGATGCTCATTCCTTTCATTTTCAATAAAACTACTTGTTCCTCTTTTGTTTGAGAGAGAGAAGCTGTTGTAAAGGGTGTCAGGCATGTGTACAAAAGCTTCACTGACAACCCTCTGCCTGTTTTTATAAGGGCATCGAAAGGTAGCCTCGTAAAACTACTCCACCACTAGATGGTATCATAGTATAATTTAAATTCTGCATAGCCCAGTCCACTTACATCTTGGTGCAGAAGAGCTAAAAGAGAAATTAGACTTGTGCATTTCAAATTGAACATGCTTTATCAAAGTGTCAACATTCATCACAGTGGCATCCCCAAAATGTAATGCTGTAATATAGTTCCATTCAGAAAAGTCTTATCAGAATCAGAATCAGCTTTATTGCTTTATCTGCGTTTTGCAAGCAACTCACCATGAGTCTTTGAGGTAGAATTGCCTGTTTTGTTGCTCATGTTTTTTTGAGATTGAAAACATGATATGAGCTGGTATGGTACCTTGGGCTGGAAGTCTGATCAATGCCAAGAATGTCACTGGAGAAAAAACGATTATCTCATGGATACTAAGCTGTGAAACAACATGAGTAAATCCAAGTTAAATTTGTTCCCAGCTCTATGTATTATTAATGTTGTTTTTTTAATGATCTTCAAACTTTTTACTGCTCAGTAGGGATATTTTGACCCAGTCACTCCAGAAAGACTTTTAATGATGTCAGTAACCTCCTTCCAATGAAAAGCTAGCTGCCAGAATCCAAGTAGTTTTAATAAAACTGGTAAAAGCTGTCATTTAAAAAAACATGTATCACATCCCATTTTAACCACTGAAATTATTGCCACATTCAAAAGTGCCTCACATCTGGAGCTACTTTAGAATGCAGCAACTAAAATATGAATGGCTGTGAAATTAAGAGATCAGACTGTGTATTTCCTGTTCTATCATATAAAGATAAACAGTTAAATACAGAACTGGTGGAAAAATTTTTAGTAATCCCATTTAAAGCTCATCCAGGGCTGATCGTAGCTGGACTTTAATTTCATTTGACTTTCCCTTGGTGTGGGCTCAATTTAGCTCAAGACATCAAGTCCTTTTTCAATGTATGTAAATATTTGTTATCCTTATCTTTTTGTATAATTGTTGCTCTACTATTTCTATGTCTAATTTGTACTATTGTGTTTTTATTTTTTTATTTCAGCATCGATAACACTGATATGGCAAACAATAATTTTCTAACTATATTAGATTATAGCTATTTTCTATATATATTTTTAGCAGCTGAAAGAAAAAAAATGTATTGGTGCTACTGCTGTAAGTGTTTTTTTATTCTCCACTGGGCTGGATATAAAACATTTCTGTGGTTCCTTCTCTTGGGCTTTGTGGCTATTTGGCTCATGCCTCACTTGAGCCGGTTTAGAGTAGGGAGGCCCTTTTGTTTTTCACAGTTTTATGGTGTAGAATCAGATGAGTAGTCAGGGAGGTTCCTCCTTTGGCTCTGTCTCCTCAGGCGGTCCTGAAGCCTTAAACAGACCTCCGTGACTCACGCCATCTATCACAATAAGTGAAACCGTATATCCAGAAACACACAGTTAACAGTCATACTGTAGACTATTAGTGGGTCCTCCATTTCAGTGACTACATGCTGACGACTCCCCAGTGTTCTACGGTCATACGTCTTTGCAAAGGAGATCCAATGGATAAGGGGTTTCAAGGTTTGAGTCTAGAATAAACAAGCTTTTCATACCAGCCACAGGAACTATGAAAACCATCTGAAATTCTGGTCACTAATAGATATATTTAACAGACTATATATCTGTTAGTAGGTTGTCACTGCTCATATGTTCCTTCGTTTGTTATCTCTGGGTTCGATTGGTGCATAGTTTGACATATTTCCGTTAAAAAAAAAAAAGTCATTAAAATAAATCATTTTCACAATCTCAGCACTCTCTCGTGTGCTTCACATGCTCAATGAAGTATCCCTCTACTGTATGTCTTAAACTAATACGGGAGAGTGGAAACTGCAGCTGTCTGCAGCTCAATGAGCCTTCCCAGATCCCTCCAAATGATCATCCATCTTAAACAAGTGTCTGTTAAGCTCTAAATCAAAAGAGCACTTAGGAGCGGACTTAGCTATGGAGTTGTTTACTGTAGGGTAAAAATTAGTCATGGTGCTTATTTTCAAAGAAAACAGCTCCACATCCTGCATGTTGATTTACTGGTGACTGGTTTGAAGGCTAATGAGTCCCTCTCATGGACATTTTCCCAACAGCAGATGTCTTTCAGCAAACAGCAGTAGAGCCAGCTTCTTCCACAAATCTTCCGAGCCTGGTGCCATCATGGTGGTGAAATACGTAGACAGCGACGCTTCACTCGGTGACAAAGAGGGCCTTTCACCTTGAAACCTGCAGCGGTTCTCAGAGGACCACACTGCAGCACTGCTCGGCCATCCCCAGTCTGTTGGCCATGTATTCGAGGTGGTACGGGCCTGAGTGTGGTCCCCTCACCAGAGCCAAGGATGTCACCTTCTCTCCTCCAATGCCTGGCTGCGCAGGAGTTAGTTTTTTTGTGGGCCCATCATGCATTTCTATAACCCCTGTGTGTAGTGGGCAGAGTTATTGGAAGACTTCAGTTACAGCTCCTGTGGTGACGCAGCGTCCCGTAACAGTCTCTGGGGTGGTTGTAGGCTTGACGTCTGAGAGGCACACTTGTGACAGGAAGATGGACATGTTACCAGATGCTCAGATGGCTAATTGTTCAATTAAACTCCTAGAAGAGAGTGTCTGAGTCTGCACTTGACCTTTTGTATAGCTCAAAGTTTAAAAAATATTGTTTGTTTAACCCTTACATAACAAGAACTGTAAAAATAAGCTTTGGTTTTAGGGGGTTTTATGGGTTGGACTATTAATTGGCAAAAGGTAACTGGGTTCAGTGACATATAGGTCTGTAAGTAACTGCTCGTAAATTCACAACTTGTCATTTTTACATTTTATTTTCTGTACAAATAAGACAAGTAAGACATAACATGTCACATGGGGACTTTTAGAGGTGCTGGTAGGGTGATTTAAAATAAAAAAAACTTTGGACAGAGGCAGGCTAGCTGGGTCTACTTTAGTCTTTATGCTAAGCTTCCTGGCTATACCTTCAAACTTATATTCATGTTTACCGTTCAGACAGGAGAGTGGTGCGCAACCAATCACCCAATTTTACTCTTGGCAAGAGAGAAAATCAGCCTATTTCCCCAACTATTCCTTTAAGTACCGATCCAATCCTAGTGTACCTGTACCTGCAGATAATTCTCAGTCAAGTTCTTAGTCAAATAACGTATTTCCCAAAATGTCACACTATTCTTTTGAAATAAAAAGTAACGATGATGAATGTAGCCCAAAAAACGTTACCCTCAGAAAACAGCAATTTGATATACAGTATAAAGTAGTCATGTAGCTCAGGTTGAGAGCCAGACTGATGAACTGATGACTTGCCCTTAGTCATCCACAGAATATGTCACCACTTGAAACGAGATGCCTCTATGATGTATTCATCCGTCTCCTTGAGACATTTTCTAGCCACCACAAAGCACAGAGCCACGCACATTTACTAGAACTCTTATTTCTGCTAAATGTTTACATTTCCTTCTGTAGACTAACTAAAGTGTCTGCTGGAAAAACAGCAACATTTCGTCTGTATGACTCACAACCACAAGAAAAGGAAGATTAGGACTTGGTTATAAATCAGCATGGCACATGAAAGGAGTTCCTTTCAATCCGAACAAACAAGGATGTCCTCTGAGGTGACTCTAAATGTCTGTTGTGTACTATTGTTCTGCCAAGTATTGTGACTCAATGGTTTCAGCTTTCATTACAGTATAATTTTAACAACATGCCATTTTTATTGGACGCTGCTTTTTTACATGTTCATAAACATGTTTCCATGTCCAGCTGGGTTTGACCGGTCTCCTGGCTTTGTGTTTTGTTGCTTTGTAAAAGTTTGTTAAAGAGATGGGTGTGAGGGACTTTGTGGTCTAAAGAAAAACAGAATATGAGCGTCTATTTTCAGCTGAGAGACCAAAGACTGTTGGGTGTTGTTAAAAGCAGGCCACAAGTTTAAAAAAAACAGAAAAAAAACAGCTCCCCTCTCCTCTCGGATGGTTTCCCCAAAAGGATGCCGTTTTCCTTCCATACCGGTGATTAAAGAGAGCAGCTGTGACTTTGTCAATGGAAGATATTTTACGAAAACATGCAGTTCAAGCACTTTTGTGTGGAAAGAATGTAAATTTCTGTGTATTTAGAGGAAGAGGGGGGAAAATAATTTGGAAATTTGGACCAGTTCCATCCCCGTTTGTCCCACTCCCCTCCCTCCTTCTTTCTTCATCCTGTCTGGCTTTCAGCAATGTGTTTCTCGTTGTCTGTCCCATTGCCTGTAACTCTCAACACGCTTGGTTGGCATATTTTTTGTGCTTGAAAACCACTCAAAACAACATATTTCCATCTTTTTTTCCCCCTCCAACAATGCCCGTTTCTCAGAGTCATACTGAAATTTAATCAACAGCCAAATGAGAAAAACATACAACAGCAATTTCCATATGTGCAAGCACACTTTGAGAATGATTGTCATTTATACAGCGGAGGAAATTAGTTATATTTTCTATAGGATCGTTTACTGTTCCCTCGGGACACCTGGTCCTTTTCACTGTAATGATAAGTTAATTGTACACATAAATTATC